CTAAATTAGTACCAGGGAAATAACTAGGCTGTTAGTGTCCACTTCCAGACGAAAATGGATATATTACACACACTCTCTGTCTCTGTCTATCTCTTTTCTCCTGCTAGAGTGCTTAGTTAGATGTGAAGAAGCCCTTGCGCGCGCCCTCTTCTTCCTCCGTGTTCCGTTATATCTAATCCAAGTCAGTTCAGTAACAGTAGTTACTAGTTGGACTGCGCCCCCCCTTCTCCCCTCCCCCTTCTCGGAGAACTACTTACTAGTCTTCCACCACTACTCGGCAGACCCCACGCCGGCTCTACTTTTTTCTCGAGAGAGGTTCCGATGAACCGCTGAGCCCAGCCAAAGTGCCAAACACGCTATTGACTGGCGCCCAGTCCGAGACGAGTGACAATTTATTTTCCTTTGCCAATTTCAGCAGGGGTAAGGTGGAAACAAAACTAACACGGGTGAAAAAAGCAATACCGTCCAATAAACGGAGAATCTCGCCGACGATGAATAGGCCACCCCAAGGTCACGGTCAGCCACGGCTGGGTGCTACCTGGTATCCAGGGGGGCAGGATGATTTCTACATGCCGGAGGTCATATCCCCCTCTCCTCAAAGGTGCGAAACCTCCCCTCGGATGACAGCAGTCATAAGGAAAAAGAACAAACTTCAGGACAAAAAGGGGAAAACACCACCACCCCCCCCCCCCCCCTCCGCCCCCAAATAGAAAACCCTGTCTTTTCCTGGCTTTGTACAGAGTCCCTAGGTTGGCGTGTTGCTAATCGAGAAATCCTCCTTCCATTAGGGTCATGCCAGAAGTCCCGGAGAACATGCAAGATAATATCGCGCACCTCGAACACGAGGCCCGAAACCCCCACCACAGCCAGTATGATCGTTCGCGTTACCCTGAACGAACTACTTCTGCGGTCGCTCAGGGACAGGCTTCTCCAACCGCCGCCTACGATTCCGCTCGTTTTGAGCAAGCCGCTGTCCACGACACTATGGACGCCCCCAACTTTTCGCCATTCCCAGTCCTGCGCAATCCCCCACCTAACGTTCCCCCGACCGATGAGCAGAGGGAGGTAAACTTGGAGAGGGCCCGCATGGCCGTGCTGTCGTCAAATGATCCTGATATGCAGTTAGCCTGGGCGCAGGATGCGCTCGCCTATGTGGAAGTTGCCATGCAAAATGAAGCTCGTCTGTCGTTGATCCAGCCCCCACGCCCTCAGACCCCTCCGGCCGAGCGGCAGTTGAAACTCGATGCGATGAATATCGTCAACTTCCTCGCGGAGCAATATCATCCCAAGGCAGAGTTCATCAAGGGAATGTGGCTGGAGTTTGGCAAGTTCGGATACCGCGTGGACAAGAAGGAAGCTTTCCGTGCCTATTCGAGAGCTGCGGAGAAGGGCTACGCCAGAGCCGAGTATCGTATCGGCATGCAGTTTGAGAGTTCGGGAGAGCCAGAGAAGGCTATCAAACATTACGAGAAGGGAGTTGCGCTCGCAGACTCGGCTTCATTCTATGTATGGCCCCTCCCCATTATCGCGTCCCAGCGAATGCTGATGCTTTGATCAATAGCGCCTGGGAATGATGATCCTTCTTGGACAGCATGGACAACGCCAAGACTATCAAATGGGTCTCAACTATATCAGCCTTGCTGCGCAATCCTGCGACGAAAATGCGCCTCAGGGAGCTTACGTGCGTCCGCTTACTTAACTCTCTTGTGACCATGATTTTGACATGTTGTGCAGGTTTACGGTATGCTTTTGGCACGAGAGCTGCCGCAGGTAAACGTTCCAGAGCAGTTCTTGCCGCTGGATCTGAATGCTGCTCGCGTCAACATCGAGAAGGCCGCTTACCATGGGTTCGCTAAGGCCCAAGTCAAGATGGGTGCGGCTTATGAACTATGCCAACTTAGCTGTGACTTTAACCCTGCATTGTCCTTGCACTACAACGCGCTGGCTGCACGCCAAGGCGAGCCCGAAGCGGAGATGGCTATCAGCAAATGGTTCCTCTGCGGCCATGAGGGGGTCTTCGAAAAGAACGATGAATTGGCGTTTATGTATGCTCAACGTGCAGCCCAAAGTGGATTCCCCACCGCTGAATTCGCCTTGGGATATTTCTACGAAGTCGGTATCTTCGTTCCGGTGGATATCAAAGAAGCCAGGAGCTGGTATGCCAAGGCTGCAGCAAATGGAAACAAAGACGCGACCGGCCGGATCGATAGTATCTCGCGCTCCAAGACCCTATCGAGGAAGGATCACGAACAGGTTGCGATTGCCCGGATCAAGTCGACTCGCTATGGCAATGGCCCGCGAGGGCCCCCGTTAAAGCCGCCTCAGGAGAATCTCGAAATGCCTGATCCCTCCAGAATGACTCTGTCAGATAACCCACCCGCCGCGCCTGCTCCCTATCCTGACAGACCGGGATCTCGTGCTCGACCTGTGTATCCGCCGGGATATCCTATGGGTGCGGACCCCCGGCCAAGTTCTGCCTTTGGAATCAACCCAAACATTCGGTCGAACGCGCCGAACAACAACCGCGCTGCATCGTACGGGCCTAGCGCCATGGGATACCGCTCACCAGGCCCCAGTACGCCTTCAACGACTAGCCCGACAAGCCCAGCGTCGGCGGCACCTAAGCTCGATATTGGCTACTCAGCACCCCTCGAGAATCCTCATCCCGATGCTCGCAGACGTCCTCAGCGACTGGACAACATGCCTCCGCCAGACAGGAGACCTGTGCGGGGTCCTGCTTCCCCCCATTCCCAGGGTGGACCGACGGGCTCTCCTAGGCCGCCAGCCTCGCCTTCCACCGCGTATCCCCCGCGGACTGAATCCATGCCGCCGCCTGGTGCTGCAGCGACCCCCCGGCCCTCGTCTTCGTCTGCTTCCACACCTAAGCCTCCTCCCTCAAGTTCGACTCCCAAGCCTCCCTCTACGGCTTCAAGCACATCTAGCCAAAAACCTGCATCCGCTAAACAGCATGGTAACTTGCCAGGCAAGGGCCCCAAGACATTTGAGGAGATGGGTGTTCCGACAGTCCAGAAAGACAACGATTGCGTATGTAACCTCCTTGAAGGACGCTATCATCAAGCTAACTATGCGCAGATCGTCATGTGATACCCTTGAAGATCTCTTACTTTTGGTCTTTCTTCATCTGTGCCATATTTGAAAGGAAAAATAGTGGACGAGTGGTTTTTGATTCTTTCTTCCCTTCCTTGCGTACAGGATCTAATGTAGATGGTTTTTGGAGTGTTGGAAAATCAGATGGCTAGTAGACGAGAAGACACACAGTGTTTTCTTCCCGTGTCTTGGGCCATCTAAGGATTGCATATGTCGTTCACCCTGTTGTTCTCATTCTTCTTTTTCTTCGAGTCTGCTTTTTGATGTGATGTTTCATTTCGGTATCATGATCTACATGCAACGGCGTAGGACCAAGTATCTTACAGCATGACGAGGCCTTTGTCTGTCCTTCTCTTTTGGCACCTCCATTTCAGCTCGCGTGTTTAGCCTGCCTGAAAGCATCAAATTTGTCTAAATAATATTTAATCCATCGCCTTCCCTTTTCAAATGAGAACCCTGTCCTGTGGCCCACGTGATGCTCCAAGCATACAGCGGACCTAAAACTCGCTGGATCCCACATCTGATATCATGATCTATTCTCTCCACCTTCCCTCCTCAATCTTGCTCGTAAGAATCCGAGCAACGCAATCCGACCTCTCCATGGCCCAGAGAAAAGCGAAGAATGAGAAGCAGCTGGGTGCTGGAGGTGAGCAACCCACAATCTCTGGGACTACAGTCGAGCTGGCTTATGCACAGCTAACAACGTGAACTTGGAAAAGCTACTGCTCCTGATGGTCCTGCATTGGTGCTTGATTATCTTCGTGAGCTTAACCTACCATTTACTATCCTGCTTACTCTGGGGCGTCTTGCAATTGTTGACCGGTCTCGCTGTATAGGAAAACAGAAGTAGAGATCGCTTTTATTCACTTAAACAAGTTGGTGGGTGTTGTTCATTTAGCTAATATGATGTGGGTTGTCAATGAGACAGTCGTCCTTACTCGGTGGGTTTCCATCCCGAAGTTAAGGGTGATGTTGGAAGGTAGGGAAGGGTCTTTTCGTGGCTGATTTACAGCAGGCTACCGAGATTTCGATGAATTTACACAATAAGATTACAAAAGGTGAGTTGCTCTTATTTAGGCGAGATTTTTGTGTGACTTGATACTGAAGCTATATATATACAATAGCACACGCTGTGAAAGCTCTACGAGAACTACACCAGAATAAACTAATCGAAGGACGGGCTGCTGGTAAGCAAACCACCAGCAGTAGAGGAATAAATATGCAATGAGACGAAAAAGTTGATTCGCGATACATCAGGGAAACAGATAGTATACCACGCCCTACAGGAGAGGTCCGACGAAGTGACGCCCGAGATCATTACCGCTTTGCATGAGCAAGCTGAGAAATTGCAGGAGCAAGTAACCGGTCTCGAAGCTGCAGAGAAAAAGACGCGAGCGGAGCTAGCAACCATCTGTGCAAGACCCTTGGTCTCCGAACTTCGACGGGATGTCGGTCAGCTTGAGCAAGAACTTGAGGCAATCCATGCACGCCTGGTGGAGGCGCGAGGGAGTGATGCAGGGACTGTGCCCGTGCGGGTGAAGCTGGATGCTCAAAGAGACTGGAAACATTGGCAGAATCAAGCCAATGTGCGCGGTCGGATTTGTCGCGATCTATGGCGGATGTGTACGGAAGTTGTGCCCGACAACATGGACCGGGAAGAATTATGGGTAAGACATAACAACCACTAGTCCGTATTGATGAGTGAGGGATGCTGACGATGTCGAGATGAAGGAGAATCTGGGATTGGAAGGCCCTTTCCCCAAATGATGATGAAATGTGAGCTAGAGGTCTACTGGTCACAAGCAAACACTGGTCCACGATCCTGAAATCTCCTATTGCCATTGATACTATACATACGCTGTATGGCCCGTGATATATTCTAATGGAAATATCTTTACTCAATCGGGATTATGAGAAAATTACGGAGGAGACAGTACATAGTACATGGTACATGGGAAAGATGCAGATGTTGTGCCACCAGCTACAACGTGAGAGTGTGGGGACGATCCGATAGCGAGTAGATATCTGGCTGATCGGCGGCCGCTCCGCCCTGCGCGGGATCAGGAGAGCGTGATTTGACGACCAGAACCCGAGGAGAGCTAAGCAGCCTAGGCCGGAAGCTGCTGAGGCAGAAAGCTAGGGCCGCAAGATGGGGTGGACGATCAGATGAACAATCCGACAGGTGTCATCCGAACGAATAATTGGATGATCTTCATGATTCAACAAGGAACAGTGAAGCATGGGGCTGTCAACTGAGGGGAAGAAAGAAGCATGCGACACAGTCAGGAGCTGTTGCAGACTCGATCTGACGCCACCAGGGAGGCTTTTGACGCCGGTTTGCCTTTCTGCATCGGGAGACCGTCATGCGCCAGGGCCCTGCGTTTACGGCACCAAGAGACTTAAGGCGTGATGTTGGCGATAAACGTAATCTTCCATTGTAGCCAGCACGAGTGTCCAGCAATTGATATCGAATTGTACTGTATGGAGATGTATGAAGATCGTAGAGGAGGGGAGGAGGGGAGGGGGGTGCGTTTGGTGGAAGGAAGAATGAGGGTGCGCCTTGAACGAAAGAGAAAGAGGGGGGGAAAGGGAAAAGTAAGTGGGGAGAGGGAAAAATGATCAGTAATTCAAGATAGAGTAGAAGTAGTTGCAATTGTCTCGGTCACCATCCATCCATCAATCGAGATCTCTCTCCTCCCTTTTAGAAGAAGAATTTGCCGCCCTCTTCCTCAGGAAGTTATTCATTCACTTGAAAAGTCAATATCTCATTTGGTTCAGGGGGGAAACGAACAAAACACAAGGGATCTCGAAGAGCTGATCGATTGCGGGATTCTGCCTGACATAAAAATATCTCCAAAGTTTGGAGGCAATCGGGCAACTAGAGGTGTAAGCATTCCCAGCCGGTCGGAGATGGAGGCGAAGACTGAGAGAGATTGAGTAGCAACATCGTCCCTCCGAATTGTTCACACTCTGAAGAAGTGCAACAAACCTTCAAAATTGTACTAACTAATTAATTCACTTGCGACCACACCGCCAAAGTAGGGTGATTTAGTACTCTCTTCCCCTACTCTCGGTGATCTTCTCCTCCTCATCCCCACCAGCAAAAACCAGCCGTGGAAATCTCGCCCCCCCGTTCCACCGATAAACCCCTCCGGATTTTTGTGCTCGTCGCCGCCCGCCGTCTCCTGCCGCCGCCGAACCACGCCGCTAAACTGTTCGCTGCTACTGCTGCTGCTGCTCTTTCTGGCGATGCAGCTGTCGGCTTCTCGCAATCCTCCTCCACCTCCCCAACCCCTTCCTTCTTCTTCATCTTCCTCCTCGTCCTCGCACGCTGCTCGTCCTCCACCCCGTGTATCGGGTGAGATGAAAAGCCGCGCTCCTCTCCCGGTCCCCTCCGGCCCACAGGCTCTCCAGAACGGCCATTCCCGCAACGTCTCGGGCTTCGACATGGCTGCCCGCAGTCCTCCTAACCAGAGCAGTATGTTCTTTCCTATCTTTCTCGTTCTCTGCGCACCGCCCTCCCCCCCAAACACCGCCGCTTCGCACTGGCAAGCGAGCCTGGTCGATTCCTCTGCACCCCAGACGGTCTCTCCCACGCTCGTCCCATGGCTCCTCACTCCTTTAACCATGAGAGCTGGATGCTGACTTGAAGGCAACTGTCGCGCAGACACCAAGCATGTGCCTTGCAAATTCTTCCGTCAAGGAGCTTGCCAGGCCGGGCCTGCATGCCCCTTCCTCCATTCTACCGATGCTGCGATCGATTATGCGCCCTGCAAATACTTCACAAAGGTAGGGAGTTGGTGATATCGTGAACCGTTTCGTTCCATGCGCCGAGCATGCTCGATCGATCTTGATGGGACTACATGGAGCTGACCACATTCTGGGGACAATTATAGGGAAATTGCAAATTTGGAGCGAAGTGTGCACTGGCGCATATTCTACCCGATGGCCGCCGAGTCAATCGTCCCAGTCCAGGAATGGCAATGGGAGGAAGCCATCTGAATCTGGGCGGGCGTGTCAACCCGCAGGCCTACGTCAACCAGGACTCCGCGCTGACGAACTCGGTTCTTTCCCAACAACGGATGAATGGCCATGATCCCCGGTATGGCTCTCAGATGCCACCCCAAGATGAATACGCTGCCCTGCATGCGCAACAGCAGCAGCAGCAGCCCCAGCCCACGCAGCAACCCCCTTACGATGCCATCCCCACCATTGATACTGGCTTGGTCTCGGATACTGGCTCGAAGTACGGCTCACCGGTTGACGATCTGCGCTTCCCCATGTCGCCGAGCCATCGTCATTTAACTGCACTTGATGCTCCACTTCCTGCATCATTCGATAGCCAAGGGATCTCGCACGCCGCTCGTTATGGCCCGGTTGCGGCCTCCGTACCCTCCAAATTCGGACTGGAGTTGTCTCCGCCAGCGCAGCGGATGGGCGCTGCGCCGTCAGATGCGCTCCGCAATCTCCGGGATGCAGCTTACGGCCCTGACATGAGAAAACCATCTTCCTCTTTCATCGGTTCATCACCGCCTGGTCTTCTAGACGATAGCATTGGACCACGGTTCCTACACTCCCAGCGGCCCATAAAATCACGAGTGCTCTCTGCTAGCGTTCCTCGGCCTACTGCGCTGGATGATTGGGATGAGAGCAATTTCCCAATGGAGGAAGATTACCTGCCGACGAATCTGCATGACGACGTTCTGACACCACAAGAGCGACTCCGGCGTTTGTCGCGCACCGATCATGAGCTCAGTTCGAGCCATCGCGACCTTAGTGGACTGGGCATGAGTGGGACGAGTTTCTCGAAAGTTGGATCGCCCCTCGCCTCCAGCCCATCTCGATTCGGCGCTCTGTTTGCCAAGCAGCGGCAGAGGAAAGAGGAAGATGCCCACGGCACCTCCCTCACTCACATCGGATCGCCCCTTCGCGAATCTTCTCTCAACTTGGGAACTAGCCCCAGCTTAGGCCCAATTGGTAGCCGGCAGATCTCCGGCGATGTCTCGCCCTTTATCTCGAGTCCCTCTCGTCAGTCATCGATGTCTATGATTTCGCAGCAGCTAAGCAGCGTCTCTCTGCACCCTGGCTCGGCTCGTCATTCGTCATCTGTGGGTGCCAGCAGCCGCCTTGACCGGACAGTTTCGTCGCCAGTCAGCACTAGCAAGATTGACGAGGAACAGGGCGACTTGGTCTTCTCCATGGAAGAAGAGGAGAACAATAAGCGAAACAGCACTTCTTGGAGTCCGCACAAGGCTGATTCTAACGACGACGACGCGTCAACACCAACGAGCAATTCTGGATTCCAGCCATAACTGTAGCTTGGGAGTACAAGTCTAGACCGAATACTCTGCCATTTGCTACTGCATGCATACAATGAATGAGGGAAACCTTAATAGATGAGACATGCAAGAGAATTGGTTGCAGGAAGGATTTTGTTAAAAGTTACACGGGATATCAAAATCAGGGCGAGGAACGAAAAACCAAAAGCATATGTTAACAAAAAGGGCAAGGGGAAAACAAAATAAAGGGAATCAAAAAAAAAAGCACCACAGGTTGGTACCAGTCCATGATAATGTCCATAAGTCATCGTCATCACCAAAAGGATATACCGAGTGCTCTAGGCTTCGGCGCTATTGGAGGGCATTTTGCATAGAACGGTTCAGCGATCTCCAGGAGTTATACAACAGCCCTCTTTTCTCTTTCTCATTAATCGTGTGTCTTTTGCATTTTGCGGGCTCTTAGACCGATTTGGGGAACTTATTCTGGAAGGGGGAGAAGAAGGAAATCTTCTGTTGATGGTCTACCTACTATAACTATCTACTAGTTGTGACATATCATCCTCCCCCTTCAATCTGCATTCGTCTCACACTTCAGGGATAATCCTCACCCTCTCCCCTTAACCCCGGATGGTTCTCACTGTACTCTACCGGAAGAACAGCGGCCGCATTGTTTGATTGACCTTGTGGACCTTATTTCGCTTTTCCAAACTTTGGGGGACTACGGGTACATCTTTCTCCCCCTATATCTTACTCAGTCTTCCTTGATCCCCCCTCCCACCCCTCTCCCTGCCCCATCCATTGCTGATGATTTTGTTGTTTGTATCTAATTTATGAGTCAACGATGTGTGCGTCCCTGTTGGAACTGGGTTTGGACATGCAGTTGTTGTAGATCAGGTTGCGAAAGACCAATTCTCCGGAAGTAGAACATAGCTATGTCTGCACCTCGTAGACTATTGCAATCTGGCACTATGCTATTGCATCCTGACAGGTGCATGTATCATTTACTAAGGGAAAGAACATCTGAGACATGAATACTAAGTTATAACGGAATGACCTTCCTAAAGAGACATCGACTGCATTTAACCTACTACTATACATGAGAACATGGGCCTGATGAATAAAATCTTCTACGATTGAATTTGGTCGGGTAACAAGGGCTTATCGAGGACGAGGACGACGACATCGCCAACCGTTCGAGTCAAGTTTCGTGGTTGTACCCTCATCCTACCTAGCTCGCGGCAATCCAGAAGGCAATTTTTGTCTCACATGAGCATTTGAGAAAATTGAGCCGTAGCCGATCCGAGACAGTTCCGTCGCATAAAATCAAGCTTTAGGTCCAATGTCGCTCAAATACATGGCGTTACCTCTGAGGCTGATGTAGCTCGGCGGCTGCGAGTTTGCCAATATCCGCGCAGTTTCCTGCTGGGACATGTGGTCGGCAAGAAGCCTTCGTTCGTGAGCTTTGGTATCTGTTTGCCGAATACTTCCCGCCTGGTCCTGATAAAGGATTTCATAGAGCTGACTTGTGCCCTGCGTGATCTGGGACGTCAAATTCTCCACGGCCCTGGTTGTCAGAGCGTCCACCCGAGCGGCGAGAGTTGTCTCATCGTCAGCTCGCTGTCGCTTAGCACCTGCTTCGCGCTCGGCCAGTTCATCATTCTCCTTGCGCTTCTTGGCCTCCACCAACTTTCTTCGCTCCTCTTTGGCAGCCAGATATTTAAGTGAATGGCCTAGCTTTTGCTGAACAGATGGGACTATATCAAGCGGCGGGCTCGAGAAGAATAGCACGCGACCCTGGTCATCACAGTGAAACTGTTCACGTATGTCTGCCGGAATGGCAGCATTCGCGGAATCGCTCAAATGGAAGACTTCGATCGGACGAGGAGCGTTGGGATTGTACATTCCCATGGGAGGAACCGGCAACCGGCCGCTAGAATATAGATTATATGGTGTTTGTTGAGCGGCCGTGTATGGATGAGACAGGGCCGACGCTTGGTAGGTAGCCGGGTGAGGTGTTTGAGGGACAAACGCGCTGGCACGCTTCTGCAAGGCAGGCTGATAAGCCTGGGTAGGGGGAATCTGGGGTTGATGGAAATTTACCGGAGGAACTGGTGCCGGTGAGCTCTGGGCCGGAGGAATAGGTGCAGCTGGGGATCGGACCGCCGCCGCAGTTCCAGCCGTCGCGCCGGTGCTTTGATTGTCTATACTGGGCCGTCCAGACGACTGAGGGATCGATGGCTGTCGAGGTGGAGCTGGGGGCAAAGTCGGTGGTGGCAGGGACGGAGGTGGTGACGGGGTCGGTTCTGGGGGAGGGGATTCCTGGTAAAGCGTAGGTCCTGTCAGTGGTGCCAATCACCAGCAGTAGAGAAGAGGGGGAAGGGAGCATGGGGAAGTTTACGTTCTCATCTCGAGGACGGCGATGAACTGCACCGACGACAGGAGGTGCATTGTCGGCTCCCCACGTCGGCTTGGGCAGGTCGTCGGTTTCCTTTGCATCGCTCTTCAGCAAATGCTTGATTGGGCTGGGGATCTTTTTGATCCTTCGGGGGGCATCAAACAGATCCATCTCGTAGTCCTTCTCCCTGACTTCATCAGGGAGACAACTCGCCCACGTTTTGATCTTGTTCAATTTATGCTTCTCCTCATTGTACCGAGCCTCGCAGACGTAGACATCTTTATCGGGAGGAAGACCTCGAGGTCGACCACGATTGTAGCGAGTGAAGAACATCACGAAGCAACGATCCACAATCTCTTCCACCCGGTGATCGCGATACTGACCAGTTTTGACCACTTCATTGGGGTAGAAATGCTTCTCGAAGTGATGGACAGTTTGCTCCGGGCGATAGTACCAACAAGCGTTGATCCATTTCTCACCCTCAGAATCCTGCCATGTGCGGTAGATCTGGGCGACAATGGGTTTTGTAACGTCATTCGGGTTCTGAATATGTACCCAGTCGCCAACCTTCCACAGCTCGCTCTTGTGCAGGATGCCATCCGGTAGGGGCAAGCGTCCATCCTCCATCAAGTACTCACTGTCTGGCTTCTTCTTCTCGTGCTCAGCCAGTTTCCGTGCTTCTAATTGCAAGTCAACCGCGTCCTTATAGATCTGACTCTCTGGCTGGTTGTAGGCCTTTGCGTTGTTGAACATGAGGTCCATGTCCCTCATGAAATGGTCCACCGAATTGTACTTCTTCCGCTTTGACTTCCGCTTGATGATGTCGATAGCAATGGGTTCTCTGATTTCCATGTAATAGTCCGGGTAGGTAGCCTTGTCGGGCAATCGCTCGAAATGTCGCACCTTGAGTTGGCTACCGGGCCCTTTCAGCTTCCGAATACCCTTTAGAACAGCTTTGATTCTGGCCTCCATCGGAGTGTCAACACGCGGTGGTCGGCCACGTTTCTTCCTCAGCTCGGGATCATTCGACTTTTGACCATCATCTTTGCCACCGTCACGTTTACCACCCGGGCGAGGGCCCCTTTTCTTCTTCCGTCGGCTCTCATCATCCGAATCTTCCTCATCCTCTTCGTCTTCCTCATCCTCATCCTCCTCTTCCTCTTCCTCGGGAAGGGGATCGGCTTCGGGAATTTCTCCAAGATCGGGAAGTTCAGCCTCTTCCGCAGTGATGATCCCTTGATCAACCAGTTTTCGAAACTCTGCAATGAAGACATCCTTTTGTTTTCAAATTTGCAGTCAGCGAAACCGAACAGGAACGCATCGATAACCGAAGGTAGAGCCCGAGTTTCTACAGACCTTTATCACGAGCGCATCTTCGTACGCTTGGGATTTGGGGCGGTTGTAGGTTTGCGCATTGTGAGGGATCTAGCGAACAGGATTAACGTAAGCTAATTATGAACCCGGTTGGCGACAGGGCAAGAGAGATGCAACATACTAGGGCACAGTCGCGCACGAATTCCGAGAAGCTTTTATACTCGCGCTTATTGATCTTTTGTTTGAGAATGCTTAGAGCCATGGGCTCCTTGATAATATCATAATAATCGGGAACATTGCGTTTGTTGACGCTTCGCTGGAATAATCTTGATGGATCATGGCCACTGCAATACGTGGGAAAGAAGGGATTGTCAGTCTCAACTGAGGGGACAAGATCCAGCCTCGGACAGAATGCGACCCAGCGCCGCGAGTCTCCTCCGGGTCCAACCCGCAGGACAAGGGGATTGGAGAACTTACTCCTCTTCTCTGAATTCATAGATAGCCAAAACCACATTCATCATTGACCTCCATTGTTCATCTGTGATCCCATCAGTGGGGGCCTGACTATCGGTCTGGCCATCGTTCTCGATCGACTTGACCGGTTCCTCAGGAGCAGGTTGAGGTTGCGCTTGCGACGGCTCCGGTTCCATACTGTAGACGGCCGCGGCCACGCAGGAAACGGCACGCAGATCAGGGCCCAAACCCACTCGTCAGTCTCGATTTCAAGATATCCCGTTAGTAGAGCACATCGACAGCGGGAGCTGATCTGGGGTGCGAACAGGAGTACAATGAGCGCAAAAGCGCACAAGGACGAGATTCGCGCAGCAACTATGCTGACTCATCAGGTAGCTGCAAGAGACCGTGACGATACACGTAACATTACATACCGTAAGAGGCGTCGGTGTTTCATTACATACACACTTACTTCCAGGCTGCACCGCCACCTTTCCCGCCTCCGCCGCGGTCAGGCATTATCTCCCCTCCTGCGGCGGAGATTAACCCTTCCCCGATTGTTCAGGTGCGTTGGGTTCGATTGCTGGTCAATCTTGTCTTCCCCCAGACTTTATCGATCCCCGACTGCGGCAACTACTCTTGAAACAGCCTACTGGAGTCTGAGTATCCTTCGTACACCCTCCAGAACTATATACTTCTTTACCAATCTATCAGCCCGCCAGCGTTCCCGATACTACGTCACAACGAAGAATGAGGATCCGGATTCGCGGTCCGGCGGGACAATCCACCGTCACGCTGGATGCAGATGCAACTGTCGACGACCTCCGGCATCAGATCACGGAGAAAACGGGGCTGACGGCGTACGATGTAAAATATGGATATCCAAATATCAAGCCATTGGTGCTGGGCGGGCTTCCTTCGAATCAGAAACTAGCAGATCTAGATATCACCCTAAACGGGGAACAACTTATCGTCACACAGCATGAGAACTCAGCCCAGTCCCCGATCAAAAGTGAACCTCAAGCAGCAAATCTTTTGTTGAAAGCGCCAGCTGTAAGCAGCACACCGAAGAAGGGTTCTCCTGATGATCCGCCGGAGGTCCCTTCGCCCGACCATAGCGGAACCTTTGTTCTCCGAATCATGCCCGATGACAACTCTTGTCTCTTTCGTGCAGTGAGTAGTGCAACTATGGGAGGAGTAGATGCCATGACCGAACTACGATCCGTTGTTGCGCAAACAATTCAAGCGCACCCAGACATCTATACCGAGGCGGTATTGGAGAAAAAGCCGGACGAATACTGCCGCTGGATTCAGAATGAGGACTCATGGGGTGGTGGAATCGAGCTGAGCATCCTCAGCAAGCATTTCGATATTGAAATATGCTCCATAGACGTGCAGACCCTTCGCATCGATCGCTTCAACGAAGGCGCCCCGATGCGGTGTATCGTGGTTTATTCAGGAATCCACTACGATACAATCGCGTTGTCGCCTTCCAGCCCGCCTTATACTCACTCAGATGTGCCTCCTGACTTTGATACCAAAGTCTTCGACGCTGCAGATCCATTGGTCCTTGAGAAGTCGCAGGAACTCTGCCAAGTCCTGCAATCTAGGCATTACTACACTGACACAGCTGGGTTTCGTCTTCGTTGCAATACGTGTGGAGGGACATTCGTCGGAGAGAGAGGTGCTACACAGCATGCCGAACAAACAGGGCATGTTGATTTCGGCGAGGCTGGCTGAGAAGAACCTGTGCCAGCTCGCCGAGCATTGATCTTCTGAACTATATACAACACCTCTATAGATATCATAATGCGGCTGTTGGCGAAAGCCGCAAACTCTAAATTATTAGACTCAGAGGTTGGGTGCCCCTCTTCCTCCAATGCAGCCGAATAATTAGTCCTTCAGTCTCCATATCTCTCCTTAATCCCTCGCTCAGTAGTAGTAGTTGTACAGCTAGGGAATTCGTCGCCTGAACCCAAGGACCCATATCATGGAGATGTTCATCAATCAAGCGATCGCCAATAGTAGAATAGCAATTGCTTTGTTTATAATCAAACCAGGAGTCATTATCATACATTGGCTCGGAAGCTCTATATCATTGCTACTTCGTCCGCTTCTCCGTCATCTTTATCCTCATCTTCTTCCCCAGTGTCTGCACTATCATCGGGGTCCCCTCCCCACTCCACATCATGATCTATAGGGTCAGTGAAAAACTCATGTTGTAGGGCTTCCTTGGCACTCAGACGCTTGTAGGGATCCAGCTCCATGAGGCCAGCCAACAATCGAGTGGCCTGTTTCTCACTTTCAGTTAGCTCTTCAACACAGCTGGCCCATTTTACAAGTTTCTCCCAGCTATACCCCTTTTCACCGATGGTAGGGATGTTTGTTTCGAATATCTGCCCATGCATGGCTGCTGCAGCTTTCATGCGTCGGGTGCCGAAGATACTCGCCATCTCAATCATAGCGTCAACATCATCAGCCGAGTTAAAGAAAGGAAAGCGGCGTCCAAGTAGGGTCAAGAGAACGACGCCGGCAGACCACATATCTATTTTGGTTGTCTGAGAAGTGCACTTGAAGAGGACTTCAGGTGCACGAAACCCACGCGTTCCTGCTCGATTAGCGCGCCTTGATGGTCGTGAGTCGTTCTTGGGATAGCCAGCTGACAATGTCGTCGGAGAACAATGAGTGTTGTGATAACTGTGGTTATATCTACTACGGCGTATGTAAGCTGCATTTGCGCACAGGCAGGTACCTGTGTACTCAGAACCCTCACGCTATGACCGCAAGTCAGTAAGATGTCGCCTCGTATGACTAGCAGATCTACTCACTTCCGCAAGTCCAAAATCGACTAACACGCCTTCCCGAAGATCAGGATTATAGAGAAAATTACTGCCAAAGCTATAAGTTAGCATCCGACATGTGTCGAAGACATGGTGATTAGCGTGCAGTGCTTACGTTGGTTTGATATCGCGATGGAGAATGTTATGTTTATGGACCGAGTGCAGTGCAGTGAATAGAGACCGGAAATAATGTCGCATATCAGCAACCAGGAATGTGCGATACTGAATGCGAAAGTCGGTGTGTGGAAAGAAGGGTAGAACGGCCACGACTTGATCCTGATAGCGGAAAGCCGTGATTAACGGACATACTGATCGGCAACCCCGAAGATCATGTAGCAGTTCAAGTTCATTTTGAATGCGATGGGGACTACTGGTCACATAGATCTTTTTCAATGCAACGAACCGTGGCTTCCTTCGTTTAACGGAAATCGAGCGGCCGTTGTCACCTTCCACCCGGCGTCTCTTAGAAGGTTGGTCCGTCCAACTGTCCGTATGGTTGCCTTGGAAGGTGTCCCAGTCGTTTTCATAGTGGTCGTATAAGAGGTCCTCTGCTTTGTACACCGTGGAAAAGGTACCTGTAAACCCATGGCCAGCCGGTCAGTCCGTCGGTGCTAGCAGAAGCAGCTAATATGTGAAAGGATACGGCCAAGGCCAAGTTGATCGGCTGCACTATACCTTCTCCGATTCTATTCAACAGCCGAAATCTATCAGATATGCCGGGAAATGTGTCCTCGAGTTTTCTCATGTCTTCTTTCACTGATTCATCAATTTCTTCTTTGTCTTGAGCGTCGTCCTCCTCATACTCGACCTCTTCTCGAATTTGCTCTATCGATCCATCACTATCTGTGGCTGCACTGTCCTCTCTGACATATTTAGGGCCTTGGGTCGCAGTGACAGGTTGCTGTATGCCGAAGGTATCCGTAGGAGCTGCATGAAGAGCGGACATCGCAATGGAGACCGCTTAAAAGGGCTGTTACAGACTAGCAGGGGGGAATCAATCAGAGATAGCTCGATCAGCAGGGCCTGGCAACACGATAGTCAGGTGCAATAAGACTGATAACGTTATCGTGATTCAGGTGGGAAAGGAAGGCGTGAGGATATGGAAATATGCGAATGAGTGCAGGGCGGTGTTGCTAGATCAAGTCGCGCACGCGCACACACACGTGTGGATAGATATGAGGAGAAGCCCCAGTGCTGTTGTAGCGTTATATTGGGAGAAGCCGGTCGTCGCTCCCACTGTTTTCCAGCAACGATCCAAAGATGCTCCAAACAGCATGCAAATCCGCCGCTTGTTTGTTTACTCGTTTGTAGTTACATGCATGATAATTGCAATTTAGCATTACAGGTATTGACAGAACAATTACAAAGCGGAAGGGTCTAAAGCACACCTATCACAATACATGTTGCTGGTGTACTGGTAGCCGTTTGCAGCATGCATTGGCTGTATTGCTGTAATTTGTATTGCTCATGACCTGCTACAATACGGGATAGCGGCGTGAGAGTCTGTAATTATCGAGGGCTGAAGCGTGTGACATAATTTACTGGTACGCAACCCTCAGTCCCCGCCGCCTCACAACCGCCTACCGAAAGGGAAAGATACAAACAAATCCAGAAGCCCGCCGCCCGTCATTTCTTCCCTGCGGCTCTCCTTCCCCTCCAACCTGCGACCCCCCCCCAAATCCAATCCTCCCCCCTCTCCTTCCCGGCTTGCTACCTACACATACATTGCTTTCGCAACGTCTCTCGATCTCGTCGCTTACAATCAAGCTATATGCCCTTCGGGGATAACCCTCGCAGTGGCCGATCATGGAGGACCGAATTCAATTCGACATAAACGAGTCGCTGAAACACTATCTGAGTGACCCGGCCTCTGTCCCTACTCCGGATGCTGATCCGGAGCTGCTCGACTGTGAAACCGATCCCGATCAACTGTCTAGTGCTCTAATCGACAATGTATTGAATCCCATAGTTGATGCGGTCGCGGAAAACCCAGAAGGACTGGCACGATCGTCTTCGTTCGATTCGCTGCAATTCTTGTTGAAGTGCGCCCTGCCCCCTGATATGTCCTCTCGTCCTCAGAAAAAGTCCATTGTTACAAACTTGTTTCTAAACTTTTGACTTGCGCAGGTATTGCTCGTTTTCCCCCACTAGATCCCTCAGCAAGCTTCTTGATTTAATTGTTTCCGGCTTATCGGTCGAGGCGGACATAATTCATGGAGAGCTTGAATCCGATGAGCAGGATGGCATACAGCATCACAAACAGCTCTTGGAGATGTATGGGTTCCTTCTGCAGTGGGCTCTCAGTGCCGTAGAGGTCAAAGCAGCAGAAAAGCCCGCAGAGCCTGTACCCGCCCGCAGGGGCGCAGGAAAATCAGCTAGATCTAAAGCGAACGCCAAAGATGGAAACTGGGACTGGACCGCGCAGATTCAGATCTCGATGGAGACGATGTGCAAGGTGATGAAGCTTAAGCTCAGCAGAATATTCCTGACGACATCTGACCGTGATACGTTCATCAATCTGTTCACCCGCTCAATTTACCTTATTCTCGAAAGCGAACAGCGCGTTAAGAGTATGAGCATTCGGATGCATGCATTTAAGGTCCTTTGCATCGCAGTTAAGCACCACGGCCATGCATTCGGTAAGTTGCTCTGGGTCAGCTCACTGAGGTAGGAACCCAGTAACTAACTTACCGGATAGGCGCCCAGACCTCCATTGTACAGAGCTTGACATATTTTGAGCACCTCTCAGAACCCATGGCGGAGTTCTTGCATATCTTGGCAGAACAATATGATTATCCTCAGCTCTCGGATGAAATACTGAAGTACGTAGTATACCGTACCTCGTATGTCCACGGGAACATTTCCGGCTGACGTTTGTTAGGGAGCTCGGAAACAAAGAATTCAACTCTAATGATACACGCGGTCCTAAGTCGGTGTCGGCGTTTATTGTGAAACTCTCAGAGCTGGCCCCACGACTTATCATCAAGCAAATGACTCTTTTGGCCAAGCAGCTGGACAGCGAGGTAATTATGCACACTCCCTCATCGCACCAGTTACTGAGTAACTAATACTTTATAGTCATACACCCTTCGTTGTGCGGTAATCGAAGTCTGCGGTAATCTCATCGCCGACTTAAGCCGGCAAGAGGAGCGGAGTGACAACTACAAAACGCAGATAAACGCATTTTTCGACGTGCTTGAAGAGCGCTTTCTTGATATCAACCCTTATTGCCGGTGCAGAGCTATTCAGGTTTACATGAGGATTTGTGACTTGGAACAGAAATTCCCCAAGCGACGACAGGCTGTGGCAGAGCTAGCAGCAAGGAGCTTAGAAGACAAGAGCAGTAATGTGCGACGGAACGCGATAAGATTGCTGGCAAAGCTGGTATCAACCCATCCTTTCAGTGTTATGCACGGTGGGCAACTCTCGCACAAGGAATGGTCAGCTAGACTTGACACGGTGGATGCCGAATTGAATGCGTTGCGACCTCCCGAGACACCTGGCTTTGATGGGGCAGATGCATCGCATGTTGACAGTGCGTTATTGGATGATGCCACTCAATTGCCGGAGGACTCCCCATCTAAAGCTTCGGGGTTGAGCGAGGAAGAGAAAGCCACGGCCATTAAAAAGGCTGCTGAACAAGCGGCTACTTCCGAGCTGCTAGCACGGCTACAGCTGACCAGAAAATATTACAATGAAGCCATCCGGTTTATCGAAGTCCTCCAGTCCTCATCTGGTTTAGTTGCTCAGCTATTATCGTCGAGGAACAAGAGTGAGGCCATTGAGGCCATGGACTTTTTTGTCGTGCTCGATGCCTACAAGGTCGAGACCTCCCGTAGCGGGATCCGGCGGATGCTGCGGCTGATCTGGACGAAAGGTAATAGTGACGAAGGAAAGGGAGTTCAGACACACTTGATCGACTGCTATAAAGGTCTTTTCTTCGAGGCGCCAGACTCGTTTAGTCCTAATGACGCTGCAAATTATATCGCGCGAAACATGATCAGTCTCACCTTCGGGTCAACACCCGCTGAACTGACGTGTCTTGAGCAATTATTGAGTACTATGATGAGGGCCGGCCACATTTCGGATGCAGTTATTGCAAAGCTCTGGCAGGTCTATGGTGTGCAAAAGAAAGAGATATCAAGGACGCAGCGTCGAGGAGCTATAATCGTCCTGGGTATGCTTGCTTTGGCGGATCCCGAGGTCGTCATCAAAGAAATCGAGACAATGTTGCGCATCGGCCTTGGAAGCCTGGGTAGATCTGACCTCGTGCTTGCAAAGTATACATGCATTGCATTGCGACGAATGGTGCCAGGCCGCCAAGCAAAGTCCAAGGACGTTGGCATCCCAAAACTGGGCAATGATCACGCGGTTTTGACGAAGCTCGGGGCTATAGTCGAAACGATATCTGACAGCAAAGAGTGGTACGGTGTAGCGGAACAAGCTATTGGTGCTATCTACGCCCTGTCAAAGCATCCAGATGTCTTGTGCTCTGACATACTCAAACGGAAAACCAGATTCGTTTTTCAACTACAAATCCAGCGATCCCCTTCTAAAGTCTCAGATGACGGAGAAGAGCAACGACCTGAAACGGCTCCAACGGATGGACAGGGAGCAAAACAAGAAACATCGTCTACTTCGTTATCTCAACTGCTCTTTGTTGTCGGTCATATTGCCATTAAGCAAATTGTTCATCTTGAATTGTGTGAACTTGACTTTAAACGCCGCAAAGCAGAACAGGAGAAGAATAAAACAACCAATGCCTCGAACCAAAAGAACGACAATGCCGAAGATGACGAGCTTGACCTCATCGGTGGGACTACTGAAGATGACTTCCAGGATGCCATGGCACATATTCGAGAACGGGAATTGCTATACGGCGAGAATTCGCTCTTATCCAATTTTGGACCGTTGGTTACAGAAATTTGCGCAAATAGCAACATCTATGCTGACCGCAATCTTCAGGCGGCGGCAACTTTGTGCATGGCCAAGTTGATGTGTGTCTCGGCAGACTATTGCGAGAAAAACCTGCCACTATTGATAACCATCATGGAGCGTTCTGAAGATCCAACGGTCCGCAGTAACGCCGTAATTGCTTTAGGAGACATGGCAGTCTGTTTTAACCATCTGATCGATGAAAATACTGACTTCTTGTATCGTCGACTGAACGATGACGAAGCTTCGGTCAAGCGCACTTGTCTCATGACGCTCACATTCCTTATTTTAGCTGGTCAGGTCAAGGTCAAAGGGCAGCTCGGCGAGATGGCTAAGTGCCTCGAAGATGAAGACAAGCGTATTGCTGACCTTGCCCGCATGTTTTTCACTGAGTTGGCCGGCAAAGACAACGCAGTTTACAACCACTTTGTTGATATGTTCAGCCTTCTTAGTGCTGAACGTAATCTCGAGGAGGCATCACTGAGACGTATCGTTAAATTCCTGATCGGCTTCGTCGAAAAGGTAAGTCACCGATGGGACATCTCACATGTAATAACCCTTGTCTTCATGTGCTGACCTCTTTTGCACCCACAGGAGAAACACGCCCGGCAATTAGCTGAGAAACTGGCTGCTCGACTCCCCAGATGTGAGACCGAGCGGCAATGGAATGATGTTGCTTATGCATTGTCTCTTCTTCCTCACAAGAATGAAGAAATAACGAAGACAATAACTGCGGGATTCAACAAAGTTGTCACTGCAAACGCCTAGGCTGATGAAATTATGCTTCCTCATGGTAACTTGGGATTTTGGTCACTACATCGGCGCATCGTTTGGGGTCCAGCGGCGTTTGAGGTCGGGTGCTTGCGAAGGAACTACGGATGGATGATGTGCAGGAATTCCTGTTTTGTCTTTCTTTACCCTCTCTTCCTTTGTTTATTTCATGCTCAGTATGTGTAAGGAACTAACTATATGGCTTGATGGGCTGCTAGTCCCAATGAATTAATACAGAGGAGCTTCCCAGATTTCTATAACTCCTATATTCTGTGGGACTTCACAACGGTCACACAATTATCGACATACTGTATCTGCTGGGGTCATCATCTCTGCGTACCAGGCATTTATTGTAAGTTAGCGACGGCCAAAATCGTTAGAAAGGAGTAGAAAAGAAATGCCAATCGTGTCCGGGATATCCTGGTAGGCCGCATGTTGGGTGGAATAGCAGGCCAAGAAAAGAAAAGTCCCCCAGAGCAGCCATTATTCTATCCTAGCAGTTGTAGGACGTTTTTTACGATAGCTTGTATTAACGGATTGGCCCCGCCACTGGATAAAAGAGATCTAGAATCATCAAATGCTTCTTCCTATAGGCACAGCAGACAAAAGTGTAATCCCGAGGCAACCAAAAGAAGTTTAAGAAGACCGAACAAACGAAAACCTCTAACTATATGTCGCCAAAACAGTTTCTTCGCATACGCCAGATTCAAGTGATCGCGTCCATATACAATTGGACCTATAGAAATAACGCCTCTATGCACCCTTTGTAAGACTCTCGTCCAACCTATAATCACCGCTGCGTAGCCCATCGAGTACCTTCAGCCCTTCATCTGTTAGCTCAGGTCTTCCCAAAGGCGTGACAGCGCCGGTGAAGAAACGAGGCTGCCACGTTTCGTTCTTGTTCTGACGCTCTGCGGCCTTTTGCCGTTGTCGCTCTTCGATGTCTTGTTTGAGCTTGGTAGCCTGGCCGTACTTTTTGTCGACGATAGCTTCGGTAACCGAAGACCAAAATTTGCGGGATTCGTTGGATAGTTGACTCTCTTCCGGAGGCAGCGTCTTCGCGACTGGGAAGAGGGGTGTGACATCGATCAAAAGCCGAGGTTCGTTTGTACCGGCCAACGTGTAGAAAACTTGCCCATGCCAAGAACCGCTGATCCGGGCAAGAACATCGCCTTCGGGTACATCTTTGATTCTCGTGGTGACGTCCTTATCCGGATCGTATCGAAAGATCACACCCTCAACCTTATTCTGCGCTCGACCAATCCAGCCCTCCTCCAAGTACTGTAAAATGACTTTGATGCGCGTCTTGGCGCAAGTAATGTAACAAGTGTCTGAGACAGAGATCGCCAAAGCGCCTCTGAGGAGACCACCAAGGTGTGCTGCAGGATGGGTCAAGTGGTATTCCTCATTATCTCTGTTTTTCAAGTTGACGAAGATTCCCAGGTTGTGCTGGCCAGGAGCGACCCGGATGCTGGTGCCTGTGAACTTGGCACTGATCTGGTCAAAACCACGCGCAGAGACCCCTGTATCCGGGCAGTCTATAAAAAAGGCAGAAACCGGAGGGTGGTGAGATGTTTGTTCAGTTAAGTAGCAAATCTTGACGGGATCTGTGCTGCTGTCCTTTGCGTTGGAGAAAGCTTTTGGAGTCGGCGAGACTTCTGGGAGCGTCTGATCTACTTCCCAGGTGCACTAGTTCCAGGCAAGTCAGAATATACCATCAACTTACGCCACAAGGTCTCCGCCTCAAACCTACTCTGAAAAATTCCCCCAATGTAGAATTGTACGGCTTGCATGGTTTGCCTTTGATGTATTTCTGCGATCTGGTCAATGAACTGCCACTGATTGACAATGCAGACTGATTGGGGGCATTATACCAAGTCCTTGGTAAACCAGAATCTCAGAACCTCCAGCGTGCGTCCCAGCGGATCTTCCGATTGACCAATGCTGTGACAACCATGTCAGAGAACACCAAGCCCTAATTATGAATAGGCTATCTTGCTGACCTTGCGAAGGCCTCCGGTCTGTCTAGGTAATTCCAATATTCTGATTGGGCAAGCAAATCTATATTAGCAGTCCGCTGATGGGAGATGATTCATGTGCGATAGATAGCACAGGAGACAGCTTACCCAGATTTGGCGTGGGTTCTAGAAGATGCGCTGGCAACGAGAAACGAACAGACGCGATGTCGGCCACTCCGACGAACCTGGCAAGACCACCCAGACCTATCAGCACAAACTACCGGTGAGAGGTACCGGGCAGTGAGTAACGGTGTAGCCCATGTCAAAGTCCCACGTACTTGCGGAGGATGGACAAGAAAGTCTTCAGCTTGGAAGAATCATCAGGTGCCTTCTCAGGGATTTCTTGGGCTGAAGTGGAAGACATGATGGCACTCTATGCGTCTGGTGATAGTATAGCGAATCTGACAGGCAAAAGGGAGTTGATGTTCTTTGCGTCGCTTGTGGCGAAAAGGGTCGATGGTGAGTGTCGGAGCGAGATCTGCGGTGTGCACCGGGCAGACACCCAGACGATCACAGGACTTAACTGATAGAAAGAGGCTTGCACGGCGAGCACAAGCACGGGAATAAGCAAGTAGATGAGGACCAGCCAGAGACAGCAGCAACAGCAAGGCAAAAAGTGCCGAAAAGTGCTGGGGAAACGATAATAAGAAGAATAATTAATGCGGCGGGCGCGTGCACTGACTTCCAGGCGGTGACGTCCCTCTCGGTCTTTCTACGTCACTGTCACCGACACACGCAATTGGTTGGGAGAGGAGAGACCAAGACGGATTGACTAAGAAAGCAAAAGCGAGTAAGATAAAGAAGAGATCAAGACAATACTAGTAGTCATGCAGGCCAGCCTGCAGATGATAAAGTGTCAATGACAATGGCACTGGCACTGGCACTGGCACTGGCACTGGCACTGGCAGGAGTTGGGTCTTGCCCGTACTCCTGAATCATTCGGGGTGGGGGGTTACCCACTGATTCATGTAGATAAAGGGGACGCGAAGAAGCATAAAGGAAAAAAGGGGGGGATGGACAGGGTGAAGGAAGTAGTACTGTTAAAGGCCGCTCAGCTAAACTTAGTATTTACTACTCCGTACGTATTCTCAGTAGTAGTAATTGCACATCCTGCTGAGAAGATGGAAGGCTGCGGACATTAGTTCGGTATTTTGTTACCACAGGCCCGGAGGGAATGATCAATCATAGTATTATTTGTGCATGTCCGAGGCGCTTTTCTCTCTTCATGGCAGAGGCAAGGGGAAAGGCCCAACCTAGTAGATGGAAACCTAAGTAGTACTACTGTAGGAGGAGAGGCGGCGGAGGCAGGGAGAAAAAAGACCGACAATGAGCTGCCGTCCAATCGGCACATCACGAGGCTCCTTGCCCGGCCATCCTTGGACTTCACTACTTACTAAGTTAACAGTACTCCGTACACTTGGGCGGTTAGTAGTAAACTACTAGTACTACTTTGATCTTTTCCATTCGTTCATTACGCGCTCACTAAACACATGATACTTACACTTGATTCCTACTGCATGCTCTAAGCTAAATCCATCCTCGCGTCTTATCTATCTGCAATATACCAAGCCCAAGTTGTCCGTCCATATGGGCTTTCCATCCGCTTTCTATGTTTTACCTCATATCATGACATCTCCCACAGCCTCCATGGTTTCGATGACCGAGTAATAAGAGTCACCGGACAGCAACCATCGTCTGTCGAGAAATGCTATGTTGTGCCCATTCAACGCTAATGTGGTCATTCCCGGTGAAGTGCTCCTAGTGCACGCTCTACGTACAACAGACAAACATTATTCTCTCCCCACCCCCTTTCGAACCCCCTCGCTGGAGAATGGCGACAAGGCAAACGAAAACGACACGATCATTTTGATGGAGTTTTCACAACAAGTCCTCTATCAGCCTTTTTCGTGCTAGAAAACGTAACCACGTTCGAATGGCCGGGCCATAATCATATCTTCGTCCTTCCGCATAGTCCTCATCCACCTGCTGAGACTGTTGCTCTTCTCGGATTGCTGCTCGTAGGTCCTGCTGAGCATGACCCAGCCTCTGCCGGTGATGAATAAGTTCTTCCACTGAGCATGTCTGGTATTCTCTCTCTTGAGTTTTATGGACAGTCACTTGGTCAATGGATTCCCTTGTCAACGTATAGCTTTCGTCCGGCCCCAGGATGGTATTTTCGCTTACTGAATCCGCCAGAGTCGATTCAAGGTCAATTGAGCTCTCGTGAATCGAGCTCAAGCGCTCTTGAATAATCTCTAGGCTCTTTACGTTGGTAGCTAATTGATCGACAAGCTCAGGGAGCGGATCTCTAGCAACACTCAGAATGGAGAACTCTATTTGATCTTCTTCATATGCCTCCATTCTGGTACGAATATCAGGCTTTACCAGGCTCAGCCAATCTTCGTCTGATGCGCAAGAGCCTACGGATCCGGTCCAGTCAGCGACAGATACTTACCGTAATATCATTGACTGACTCACCAAGCGCCTGAGGTTGACGTTCTAAGCCGTCGAACTTCCAAACTTTACCCAAGGCAGGGACGAAAGCAATGAAATGAAAACTTGCATCTGCTTTATTATCTGCAGGCTTGTTCTTGACTGGGCGACTTCGCTTGGATGTAGCCTCAGCTTTAAGCTGGTAGTCTGAGCTAAGCATGTCCATTTTCCTGCTGCCAGATTAATCAAGTGCTTGCCCACTGAACGAAGCAATTACCTCGCGAATGAATTATGTATCCTTTTGACAAACTCGAAGTTACTTATTGCATCTCCCCTCAGTGCGGGTGTGAACGGCATGGTAAAGTCTTTGAAACTCCGTAGATTCTCCCCAAGGTCGATACCTTTAATGTTGTTGACGATGTTCAGAAGCGCCACACTAGCGCAAGCATTGCTGGCTGTCTGGTTACCAATGTCAGTGACAAGCTCCAGGGCTAGATCTATAGACAGGGAAGCCGACCTGGTTAGCAAACCAGAGGCCCTCCGGGCAGCTTGGTTCTTGCTTATCTGAATCATCCTCGCGCCAACGGAACAGAAAGATCAGACCATATATGGGTTTACTGTGGGTGTATAAGCGCTTGGTAAACAATGAAGCAACTGTGGTATGGCACTTACTTCAAAAATGTCATCATCTCCTCGTCAAGCGACACGACTTCTTGAATTTTGACCCCCTTTACTCCGAAATCCCGGAGCATCACATTGAAAAGAGCCTGTAGAGAGACCATCAATCGCGACGCTCAACACAGTGGAAAGCAAAAGAAAAAAAAATATTGGTCGTAGAGTCATACAGGTTCCGATTCCAGCTCACAGAATCCATTCCAGGCATCCTGATCGAATTTCGATGCTGGTGAGTATGAGCCGTCCAGACACTCGATGCCATTGCCTACAGTGGCATTTGGCTGAGTTCCAACCCGTCGTCGTTTGGCCTGATGGGTCATGATACTAGTAGTAGGTCCCTAGCTAGCTCGGGGGTTATAGATAGTGGAAGAGGCAAGGTGGGAACCAAGCAAAACCTGGATCCACAGGGCTGAGCATTTAGCGACTCAAGCCATACAGAGGGGACAGAGATCACTTGAAATTGTCCGTAGTCTTACTGGCAGTAGTAAGAAGCGTGGAAAGTCTCCTGAGCCAAGTTAAGAGGAACCGGTGTGCCAGGGTTTGCCGTGTTACTAGCTGCCTTCCTACCTGATAGAAGAGAAAATGGAAGAGGAGTCACTGTGTAACACAATTACCGGGGGACTACCACGGAGCACCCTCCGTGGTCTAGTATTACACCACGTGCACGGAGTAACTGGGATACCAGTACTTACCTGACGGCTTCCCGCAGCACCTATCTATGTAGTAAATATGGAGTGTCCAGTGATGCGAAGAAGTGACCTTGTAAACGACTACCGAGAAATCTACCCACGGCTCCCATTGCATCCCAGGTAGGTCTATCCTGGATAGTAATATCTCATATACCATGTACCTAAATCTGCTATAAGCGACACGCGTTTGCAGACGCGCGCTCTACTAGCAGTAAGTACTAGTTTAGTTAGCGAAAGCATCCAATGGGCCTGTTTCCACCGTAAAGCACGTGATCTTCATACATCATTAACGGGATCCAAGCTGCAAACTGGAGCACTTCCGACAGCTAAAAGCTAAACCCTTGCGTTTATTACTTTGTCCAGGTCCCGGTAATTCACCACTTATCTAATGTTCGGGACTTTCCATCCACATTGACAAACACATTTACCAATTTATAAAAGAAAAATTATAGGTTCGCAACGCGACTACGTTATTTGTGTGCCAAAGCTCTCTTTCAATACGCGCGAGCTCAACCTACTAACTAGCCTGTTTTCTTTTTTTTCTCGCGCTTTCTTTTCTTTCGCAACATCGAGCGGCTCAGCAACAACCGGTCCCCCTGGTGAGTCCAAGACAACAGCCGGCTTCAGCATCTCTCGTGAGTAACCGATCCATATTCCACAAAGCATTCTCTCTAGAGCACATAAAGCTCACCTAGTGCGTCTACTACAGGTCTCTGTGGATGTTTGATTGACCGCAGCATGCCATGAACGGTACTCCTCGACTTCGGTCTGCTTTCCCGCAGACACCACAAAGAACCCCGAAGATCAGAGACTTGAGCTACTCCACATCTAAATCGAAGCCCCGGGATTTGGAGCAGACGAAGTTTCCCACAAAGACACCCGCACAAGATGCCAATCGACCACTCATACCGGTAGGGGTTATAGATGCCCCGTCGCAGCGACTTTATATTGCGGCTTTCTATGTTGCTCTGAATGCTTGGCGAGTATATGAGTCTTGGACGGCATCTGATGACTTGGACTCGACCTGGTTATTCCTCAAATGGGCTGCTGTCGATGGTGTCTTTCTCTTCGGTCTACAGGCGTTGCGCATCCCGTGGTTAGAATGGGCTTTTCCCACTACACTTGCAATCTTCATCATTCACGTCGTCGGCAATGTATTTCTGATGTTTCGAATCCCCGTATGCTTGTCCACGTTGCCGCAGTAAAACGTGGAGCTTGCTGACTCGTAATTAGATACCGGTGGGGACATGGATCGCTGGCATGGTCAAGTTGGCCTACGATAGAGAGTTATCCATTTCTGAACGAAGTGTGAAGCCTGGTGATATCATTCACAACGCATCTCTTATTTTGGGAAAGCAGATCGTTCATATACTTCCAGAAGGGTGAGAGCCCCTAGGGTGGCGAATAACATCTCTTGGAATCCGCTAACAGGGTCATGCAGTTCGGCTATTCTAAACCCGGATCAAGTACCACTGTGCATCGACGCACAGAAAACTGCCATCGATTTGCCAATTCGAATCAATCAAACAGATCCTATCCTTATCGAGTTGTTACGTCTAGATTATGAGACCGGCGCGAATGAAACGATCGTCCTGTCGTCTAAACAGTTGAAGCAGATGAAGAAGCAGGCAGAGAAAAGGCACCAAAGCTCGAGTTCGGACCTTCATCGGGATCTTCTCTATTCAACTCGGCGACCGGGCATATATCGCCTGCAGAGGGTAGTAGATGAGTCTAACCTTGATGTACACATGCGCTCGTCTGATGCTCTTGTCGTCTCTTGTCCCCGGGCGCTGGTTAAGAACTCGCACACTCATAAATGTCGAGGAGAACTGTCAAACCTGATACTAGCGGTCGAAGGCACGCCGCCATTGAAGATCAAGTACAGCAGACAAGTGAATCAACTTGACCGAGGATTTTCGTTCCAAAACATACATCCCGATAATTTGCGCTCGCCATTGTTGGGTCAGAGAAACTCTGGCATCCTTTTCAATTTCAGAGAACCCGAAGTCGCCTGGGCTCAAAGCCAAATCATTGAAGTTCCGTTGAATGAGTCACTGAATGTGGGCGGGGAGTGGCTCTACAGCATTGAAGAGGTACATGATGGTGCAGGGAACATCGCAAATTATTCAGCACTTCTGGATGTATTTGATCGATCCTCGACCAAGTCCCTATCACAGTGGCATCAGTTTTCGGTCCACGAGAGGCCCCGGTTGTCATTGACTGGTTGCAATGACCAGAGCTTCCTAGAGGTTGCACGTGGCGACAGCGTTGACCTTCCCTTAAACTACCATCCTTCTGGTCAAGGTTACGGCAATGATGGGCCCTTTACTCTGATATACTCGTTCAGCAATAGCGATCAGGAATTTCCAAGTGAACAGCCTAATAAAGTTCGTCAACTCACATTCAAAAGTCTTGACCAGAAGCCTCAGATCAAGGATCCGGGTTGGTACAGCCTGAACTCGGTTTCGAGCCAATATTGTTCTGGAGAAACGCTGGAACCCTCGTCTTGTTACCTGCGCAATCCTCCGGAACCAGAGCTGGCTATCAGGTATGAGAAGATCTTTGACAAATGCGCTAATAACCCTGTCGGTCTACTCGTTGATCTGGACCTCACTGGATCGCCACCTTTCCGGGTTCGATATGTTGTTGAACACTCGAAAGGCGTGGAGACAAGGTCCCAGACTATTGACGGACTACGTGCTCAGCTGGATTTTACCCCTTCAGAGGCAGGCGCCTATCGTTACCGCTTCTTGGACATCGCGGACACGGTCTACGCTCCGCAATCTCTCAGGGACAAAGTACCAGTCCTAGAACAAGATGTGAAACCTCCAGCTTCTGCTCATTTCCTCGGGAACAAGGAGGTGCGCAAGGCTTGCTTTGGGGAGCCAGTGTCCGTAGACGTAGCCTTCTTGGGCGAAGCGCCATGGACGCTGCAATACGAGCTCGTCCACAACGGCAAGAAGACAAAGTATTCCTTGGTCTCCGAGAGCGAAATGGCCACAATCGTGACAGAAAAGCTCGTCAGCGGCGGCGAGTATGCTATTGTGCTGACGGGCGTCAAGGATCGTTCGAACTGCAAGCGGACTCTCAGGGACACTATCAAGATTGACGCTCGCTCGAAGCCCCCGCACGCATCCTTCGGCCAGATTGAAAAGAGTAGGAAGTACTTGGCTTTGCAGGACTCCAAGCTTGACATTCCGGTCAGACTGAGTGGGGAGAGGCCATGGAACGTCAGATATCGCAACTTGGACACCAATTCCGCTGTTCTTGAGAAGACACTCTGGCAAGAAAACAGCGTGCTGACTGTCGCTCGAGAAGGGCGGTACGAACTCGTGGACGTTGCTGATAGCTCCTGTCCTGGCTCTGTAGACCAGTCAGCCAGCATCTTTGAGGTGTCCTGGATACCTCGTCCTCATATCACGACAGTGGATGGCTCTCCGGTTGGCGCCAATGGCCACGTAACGAAGCGCGACGTTTGTCAAGGCGAAGATGATAGTCTCGAGCTTCGGCTGTCGGGTAACCCCCCATATGACATACAGTACGAGCAGCAGCGCAAGACATCTCGTGGTTCACCGTCAGTCAGGCTACAGAGTCTGAAGACAGCCCTTAATGCTGTTTCCATGGAAATGGACACGTCGGAAGCTGGTTCCTATACGTACAAATTCACAGAAGTCGGCGACCATCTCTACGACCATGACCCTCGCAGCCGGCCGGTTGTCGTGACGCAAAGGGTAAATCCCCTACCCTCTGCGCGGTTTGATTCACCTGGTCGTATCTACGGTTTCTGCAAAGAAGACATAAGTGGTGAGGAATTGATACCCATTACTTTGGAGGGCGTGCCGCCCTTTTCCCTCGAAATCTCCATCAAGCACCACTCGAAAGCCAAGCCAGAAATTGTGTCGATCCCAAATATCAAGTCCAACAGGCATAATCTGCCTATTCCACGACGCCATCTTGAATTGGGCCAACATGTCGTTAGTATCCGCAAAGTGAGAGATGCACGTGGATGCCAGCAAGAAACCGAATTCGACTCTTCTTCGGTGAGGGTCGCGGTTTCGGATGTGCCCACCATCATCCCCCTGGAATCAAAGACCGATTATTGTGTCGGCGAACGCCTTTCTTTCTCATTGTCTGGCCACGCTCCATTTGACGTGTTCTATACTTTCGACGGTGCATCCAAAAAGGCTACTTCCAAGACCACGAATTTCCGTCGGATCGCCGAGCGGCCAGGAGTCTTCACCATCACCGCTGTAGGTGACGGCGCAAGTGGAAAATGCAAGGCACACAAGAATATAACAAAGACAATTCATGAGATGCCGAGTGTCAGAATCAGCAAGGGCCAAGTCTCGGTTGTTGATATACACGAAGGAGGAGAGGCCGAACTTCAATTTGAATTCTGGGGCACACCACCATTCGAATTTACGTATGTCTCTCATTATCTTGTCTATCAATATGGTTTAACTAATTACTCGTTAGATATATCCGGAGCTCGAATACTCGAAGAGGCAGAAAGCCCGAGATACTCGACATCAAGCACGATATCTCTTATGAGCACACAAAAAGCATCAAAACATCCGATGAAGGCACCTATGAAGTTGTCGCAATCAAAGACAAATACTGTTCGTTTTCTTCTCAGGAGTCGATAGAGAAGACTGAGAAACCAATGGCACGCCCCTGAGCTAGAAATAAGAGGGAATTAATAGGATGTGTACGAGGGTAATTCAGCATTTTGTTGTCTTTCTCATGAACTTTTGGCTTTCCCATTTGCAATCGCATCGCAACGGCGCTAGGTATTGGAATGTACAGGTTGATTTTATATGAAAAGGTCCATCAACAGCTATTCATAAATTACTTCTCGGAAGCCACCCCTGTATGCACTTCTATACTGTCCACCAAATCAGCACCCAACCTGGCGATCTCGCTTAGGACTGCTTGGCAGTTCATAGACACTTCTTCGTCGGCTCTCGGTTCTGAGGGGCATGTTGAATATGCCAGCTTCAGCGTCCAATTCTTCGGTTTGAGAATCTGAGGGTTCCAGAGACCGCCGATAACGCTGCAGCTTTCGTCGCCGTGGAAGAGAAGCATGTTTGGATGGTAACAAGCCTGCAGGTCACGGGCGAAGGACGACACCATTGCAGGTTTAGCAGCTCGCGCAGTTCTCCGCGAATCTAGATTCTTAAATCTTGTAGAGAGTGCCAATCGTTCCTGTAGCAGACCCGGACGAATGTTGATAACAAAATCGTAGGGTGCTAGGGATGTATGGAACAAGTCCGACACAGCAAGGCCATAGCCCTGTTCCCGCAGCAATTTCATGGCCGCCTTAGCCAAAGTACACATTCGAGCAGCCACGACCTTTGGAGGCATCTCATGCTGAGTCCAAGTTACGCCATCAGTGTCAATATCGGAAGCAACAAACAAGGCGACGGTATTCATGGCCGGGTCGATGCTTCGCCAGGCAGAAAAGCGAGTCTGAATCGTTTCCATTGACTCCTTGTTTAGTTCTCCGAAATCGACCATCAATGGCTCCTGTTGCCAATCCCATCGGGCAAGGACGTGAAGCGTCCGCAAAAAGCCGGCCATGACACTCGAAGGGATGTCCCAAGGATAAGACTGGGTAAAGACCCGAACAACGAGTAATTCAATCAACTCCTGATTAACATGGCCTGCGAGCAGGTGGCAATTGAACCAATATTTGACGAGGCGAATTGTTGGCGACAACAACGGGAACCGGGTACATAAAGTGCGGATTGCCTGCGTTAGACGGGGTGTTTGGATGAAAAGTCGCTTATATGCAGATAAGGCATAAGCCACTTGTTGTTTTGCCAGAGGGCTAGCACCTTTCTCCTTCAGTTGACGTTCTAGCAACAGCTGCTCGCGCTCATGGTGAATCCTAAGGCGGAAAACTATTCCAGATGTATGGGTGATGTCCAAGAAGGAATTATTTAACAACCCCGTCGACTCATTCTCCAACCCAACTCTACAGGCGGAAGCAACCCCACCCGACTTCAAAGAGTCTCCTATCTTAATGAGAAAGGCGATCTTGGTCATCTGGATAGCCTTTAAATCATCTGGCCACCGGGCCGAGCTCTCAAACTGAAGAACGATGTCCGCAGGGCTGGATGCAACCCCTGCAGTACCGTGAAGTCGGAGGGCAGTGTAGCGCAGACTAGGGCTAGCAGGTGCTAGATGCCTAACAGTAAGAGGAACGCCATCCAAGTCTTGAATTGATCTTTGCACTGAACTGAAGGCATCGGTGATCGCTTGAAAAGCGGGACTCGAGTAGGAGAAGACATCGTCGCCGCCTTCGCGAAGCTTGTCGTCAAATTCATCGCCAATAAATATGACGTCGTCATCCGTGTAGTTGAAATGGCGCCTCAAGATGTACGCCAAGATCTGATACACTATAGATGGTGATGACTTCTCATCAGTCCATACCAAGCTCTCTCGGATAGTACCATCCTTAAAACGTCTAAGTTCGGCCTTCTCTCCCCAAAACAACCTAAAAGACGCCGCCTCTTCTTTTTGTTCTGCAGACGGGCCATGGTCGACAACACGCTCAGCATTGTCGGTGTTAAGAACTAGACTCACGAAGACACCTTCGCTTTCCGGTTTGCGATGCGGTTTTGCGTCTACCGGCCAGGGCTTGAGAGCATCCCCGTGAATATGTACGAGATCCGCTCTGTCCCCAAGCGCTCTAACAATCACGTCATATACCGCAGTCTGACTGCGAAGGTTGCGCAGGATGTTCGCACTGTCCGGCGCCGGGAGCTTGACGATGCGATCAAATCTCAGAAGAGGCTCATTCACCTTGACAATGAAAACTTTGTCAAAGTTGTCGTCGCGGGACTCATTCAACATGCGGACAGTAGTGTTTGCTTCACGGCGAAGAAAGGCATAGGACCAAGGGGCCATCTTATAAAGGACATTCATCCCCCGTTTGCCATCATACAAAACTGGGACGCCATCAGGAAAAGATATATCCGTAGCGGAGAATAGCAACGGAATGGTCAGGTCCCTTCCTGCAATAAATTGTAGGGTCGCCTTGAATAGCTGGTAGCTACTGTATGATTTAAGTAGAACGGGCTTGCCGTTGGGACCTCCTCCTTCGAAGAGGAGAGCCATAAGCACTGTCCATTCGAAACCACCAAATCCGCCCTTATACGGTGACGAGCTCAGTCCCCGCTGTCGGAGCCATGTCCGGCCCAAGATACAGGCATCCTTGAATGATTCACAATTCCGAGCAGCGTTGTAGAGGAACTTGTGATACTGTGCCACTGCGGCCTCTGAACGAAGAGTGGCATTGTAGAACGGGGTGGACTCCTGAGACACAGGCGCATCCGTCGAGCCCTGGCGAATATTGTTTCTCGACGGCAAGGTCCGAGAAATTGGGAACAGGGAGTCTTCGACGGCTGTAATTATACGAATCTGATACTTTGCAGGCAGGGACTCCGGTTTCTCGGTACCATTAGGCTCCAGTAGAATAACAGGACGAAGGCTGTCACCATCCTGAAGCCCAAACTTAACGGTGAGATTCAATCCCTCCGCCTCCCTAATCCCAGCAGCAAGGCTCGCGATGTAATATGCCCTCTTGTGAAAATAGCGATAGTTCACGTAATCCTTTGCCTGAAATAAAGCACTGGGCATCGTGACTGCCAAGTCCACCGTCAACGGTACATCGCTTTTGGCACCTGTTTTCAAAGCGAGACTTCCGACCACATTGATGTTCGTTGGTTTCGAATATGATACGGTGTATTTAGTATCCTTGGCCGGGCGAGGTTCTGGAAATGGAACGGTAATACCATGCGCGCCACGCAGCTCCTTCTCCGCTTCAGAGGTTGGTTTTGGAGGCCTATCTGGAAGACATTCGATAACGCTCTTCAACTTGTGAAGTGTATCCTGAAGTCGCGAGACTTGTTTGTCATAGTTTGGCCTCGATCCATTCAGTAATTCGTCCAGCTGTAGCTTGAAGAAGGTAGATTTAAAAAAACCGCTGGCGAGCGCAAGTTCAGCAGAGCGGTCGTTCTTTGCTCGCCCGTTGGTGCGCAGAGTAGAAACGTCGGCCTTTCGAGAGGATTTAGGGGCATCGCTATCAGTCAAGCTTTTTCGATTCGACTGCAAATATGCACTATCATTTTGTGTACGCGAGGAATCGTCCGGTGAAGGGCTCAGTCTCCTTCTTTTTGCTGCATGGGCCGACATATTGGGTCAAAACAAAAAAATGTCCTGAGCGTTGATTAAGGGAATTGTTGATTTTATGAGCCGAGCAGGATAAAGTGGCAGTTCTGTGGAGAATTCCCTCCCCTGTGATGGACTAGCTGTCCAGATTAGACTGCAATCTCTGCGTCGTCTTGTTCACTCGCTCCAGTCCTTCCCTTTTTTTTTTTCCCCTTTGTTGTAATTTTTAGCCTCTTGAATTTTGACTTGACGGGAAAGCAACGTCCGATCTCCGATACCCACTTTCACGTGGAGATAGCTAGCTGATTAAGCAGCCAAATGGACGGACCAACGTAGCTAATCACCGGTCCGTAATCCGTAACTCCGCGACCCCAGGTACAATTGGATCCGTCGCGAGCTACTACTACTACTTTAGTACTACTTACTTCTCCATCAAGGTATGCGCGCTTTTCTCACGTCTACTATATGATTATAATCTATAATATCTTGGACAACTTAGTAACGAGGTCTTGTTATAGCTGAATTTCACGGTTAGGTACATGAACTTGGTACCACGTCTGGATAACTTAATAATGCTGTGGCTTGAGGTTATCTACACAGTGAGCACATTAACTATTCATTTTGGCGTATTTGTATAGTTACTGTCTATCGTAGTTTGAAATCAAGTGACAGGCTGGGTGGTGCATAAGGTTCCAAATGTATCGAATATTCTACAGTAGTACTCCGTAGGTACCCCGCATACAGTGTAAGGTAGCCCTTCGGTATTACCATGCAACAACAGCCTAACGGTATCAGTCAACCCTCTATCGACATAACAATCTATGGAATGATGAACAGAAAAAGAAAATAGATTTCTTGGGCTCATAATAGTAGTTAGGGACTGGGTATATTGGTTACAATGATAGTTTGATGAGTTGTAAATTGCCCTGGGATGTATTAGCATTGATCATTGGCTGGACTTCTCTGACGGCAGCGCCGAAATCGCTGTTGAGTCATTAGAATTAGTACTAACTATTAACTAGTCGATTTATTATTGTCCTGACAAGAATTCTTCATCATCCACCACTTCGCCAGCATTCATTACACTACGTACCTTCTTTTGTCCGCCTCTGTTCTTACTGTCTTCGATATAGTGCCGTTTCTTTGTGCTACAATGATCCAAGACATTGGAGGTCCAGTCCCTCCTCACACTGATCACGTATGTTCTAACCCCGCGCAACCCCGCCCAGCTTCTATTCACCACCCTTTTAGTTTTTGCCCCGGTCGCCGTCTTGGCTCGGACGAGATGCACAAGGCTTGGAAGCAAATTTAAGTCACATTTGGGCTTTACTTACATCCTCATAGGCAGTCAGTGTGTCCCTTCCAACATGGAAAGCGAATGTCGCATACGAGGAAGGAGAGTCGTGGGTTGTGGATAAGATGCAATGTGGATACCCTCGCTTCTTTATACATCCCATTATTCAGGATCTGGCGAGGGAGATCGTACGTCGCTATGGCAGCCCAGAATTGGAAACGGCTATACTATTTCCTTCTCTCAAAACATCAGGGGTCTGTTATTCGTTTCTCAAATCGAAAATACTAGCCGAGGAACCCTGTAATGTCCGGACAATAGATTTCGCCCTACCCATTCAAGGCGAAGACGCGCCGTCTGGTACGGATTCGATACTATCGTGCGTGATATATCCCATCCAACACGCGCCGATTGCCAAGCAGGTCTGGCAACATACAGGAAATGGAATCTCAAGTAGACGTGCTGAGTTCTGCCTGAACGCGTTAAGGGATGGGTTTCTCGTGGAAAGGAAACCTGCAGCTCAATGTATGGCATCGCCACGGTTTTTCAAGGGGCCAAGGAGGTATCAGGGTCGAGAGTCTATAAGTGGAATGTCTCAGGGAAGTGGAACGCACGCCCGCGACAGTACTACGGGTACAAACACGACAACCAGGAACATGCAAGATGGCCGCGAACATGTCCAGTTCATTGAAGAACGATTCGGTCGGAATCTAAGCACCTCGCTGGCCGGTCAGGCAAGGCTGGCTGTACGGCGACGCATTGCGGGCGTTCTGACAGCCGACATGGAGCTTAATGAGGCCCTTGAAGAAAAGTCAGGAGAAGGCCGTGTCGCGGGGCTGACAGAGTCCGATGTTTTTCTCTTTCCGACCGGCATGAGTTCCATCTTCAACGCTCATCAGATGTTGATGGCTGCGAAGGGAGAGATGAAGAGCATCTGCTTCGGATTCCCCTATACCGACACCCTAAAGATACTCCAAAAATGGGGCCCGGGCTGTCTGTTTTATGGTCATGGCTCTTCGGAGGATCTCGATGACCTGGAGTCGCAGCTACTGAAAGGAGAGAGATTCCTTGCTCTTTTCACTGAATTCCCGGGCAATCCGTTACTGAAAGCCCCCGATTTGAAGAGAATCAGGTCACTCGCCGACAGGTATAATTTCGCTGTTGTAGTAGATGAGACGGTAGGGAATTTTCTCAACATCAATGTGCTTCCCTATGCAGATATTGTGGTAAGCAGCTTGACCAAAATTTTCAGTGGTGATAGTAATGTCATGGGGGGAAGTGCAGTACTCAACCCCCATGGGCATTATTACGGGTCTCTAAAAAACATATTTGCACGCGAATATGAGGACAATCTTTGGGCAGAAGATGCCGTATTCCTCGAAAGGAATAGCCGCGATTTCGTATCCAGAATTGATAAGATTAATAAAACCACGGAAGACATCACGGCGATGTTGGAGGACTCTCCACTCGGTAAGCTAACAATCAAATCTCTTTGTTATTGGGTTATTGGGTGTTGCCCCTCGATGTACCTGTCTAATGTGCTCAATGCTAACTGACTTGCAGTGAAACAGGTATACTATCCGAAGTACAACTCTTCAAAGCCATTGTATGAAGCATTTCGCAACCAAAGTGGAGGATATGGCGGTCTATTTTCGGTTACATTCCATTCAACAGCAGCGGCAGTTGCCTTTTTTGATCATCTCGAAGTGCTCAAGGGACCCAGTCTCGGTACTAATTTTACACTGAGGTGAGTCAGTATCATGGTAGGCAAAAGGGCGACAAGCCTGTTAACAATGATGCTTAGCTGCCCTTACACTCTGTTGGCGCATTATAGTGAACTAGAATGGGTATGTCAACCACTCCAATTCCCGACACAGCATGGCCTTCACTCCTAGTTGGGGGTATACTCATACTTTTCATCAATTAGGCAAGCTCATTCGGTGTCGACTTTGACCTGGTAAGGATAAGTGTCGGCTTAGAAGACGTTTCGGATCTTCGCCAGCGATTTCAGCAGGCCCTGAAGGCTGTCGCTGAAGTAAACGCATAATGCGGGCTTCCTAGGAAGAGTGTCTATAGACTCATGGGAGCATGGATCATATGAACACACCGTATGATTTCCAAAACCATAACTCCTGGGGTGACTATCTAACTAGTGGAATACCTAGTAGCTTGGTGAAAGAAAGTACAGTGCGGAACTTCCTAGATCCTATCGTAGCCAATCAGCCATGGCTCGGGGTTCTAGAAATTACTAGTAACGTGATGAATGTTTGCTTTATCAATTTGTCACCTGTGTGTCCTTGATCTATCAAACAACAACCATTCCCCGAGTATTGTATCTGTGAACAGCTTGACTGGGGACCTTTTGACAAATGAATACAAATTATCTGCACGAAATCCACGGCCGTACGTACTACATGTCCCCGCGATCGCTGACACCTAGTAATCCAGTGTATAGCGTGCCTGATAGCATACAAAGCAAGAATTCAAGACCCAAGTAGCTAGGCAAACTTGCCGGAAAACATAGGTGATTGATCTTCCTGGTCGGCCTTTGGGATAAGAGACAGGTATAAGCTAAATCAGTTGGTATACCTCCGGCTCCGAATTGCTTTCGAGAGTATTATAAGAACAGCTATAGTGATGATGATAATCAGGACAACAATCATAACAGCAATAAGGGCATGAAAAGTGAAGGTTAAACGGTGTAGATAGGTCTGTACCCACGTTTCTCTACATGATCAGTTAGGCTAGTGCGGCCACGGAGTCACGAGACTAGCAGTTCGGAAAAAGTCGACTTCCCAATCTCGTCCGGTACCTCCCCTACAAACCTCTATCTTGGCTATGTCCAATCAATCTTAGACCCTTCGCATTTCCTTGTATGTGTCCCACTTTAGCACTCTTTATATGCTACATACTTATGTTCAATTAATGATTTACTAATTGCTTACCCCTGCTTTCTTGCACTAGATACCATCTGACAGCCACCTCTCTAGCTAGCTGTAGAGGTTCATTTGCTATCATCTGGAGATTGGTCGCGATGGCAAACTGCCTTGCAGCTCCTAGACGGCCACTTCTGGCACTGCCTTTCCTTCTGCCCTCTCCTTACGAGTGTGTCACCCTAGGTTTGCGACGCAATCAGTCTTCATACAGGCGCACAAAGCAGCGTCTACGTGTCAAGCCAGATGCCTCATTTGGCTCCTCTGTGAGCCATTCTCAAGAGGACCATATTATCTACAACCCACCGTCAAGTGCGCCGTCCGTCTACCACACGCCCACTAAATTTTTGCCCTCTGATGATATCCGGAGAAATTTGCGCAACGCGTCTGTCAAGGGTAGCAACGCCGAATCACTTCCCCTCGCAGTCAAAGTGACCACCGAGAAAAAATACCATCTAAACCCATCGGATATAAGAGAGATTCGCAGGCTCAGGGCCACTGATCCAATGACATGGAGTCGGTTGAAGTTGGCCAAGCGCTTCGACTGTTCCCCAATGTTTATTGCAATGGTCTGTGAGGCTAGTCCAGAGAGGAAAGAAATCCAGAAGCGTATCTTGGAAGCTGTGCAATCAAGATGGGGATCGAAACGTCGGATGGCCAGAGAAGACCGACAGCTGCGGAAGGAGACATGGGGAAGGGATCAGTAAACCATCAATCAGCTATTCTATTCCCCAATTTGTCTTTACCTCGATCATTTCTTTTTGTCACGCAAACCGCACCTCTTTACTTTCGATTGGGTGTACCAGACCAGAGAGACTTGTTAGCTTCCGCTACATGCATTGTGGAAGCTCAATTTTTGTATAAAATCATGTATTCTAGCGTTGTCAGTCTTGGGAAATGGAATGTATTTTAGAAGATTGGCTGTTTAATTTTTCTTTCTTACTTACTTGTTTCTTTCATTATCTTTCTCTTTTATATTTTTTTTCTTCATTTCAACTTTTCAGTAGCACCCACATTCTCCTGATTTTTATCTAGGTTAAGAGGCTCGTTAATGGCTATGGGCGCTTATTTGCGCTCCGGGACGGGTAACCTTCCTAAGTACACAGGTGGGCAGGACGGACAACCAACCGAATGATAGCGAGGATACTGTTAGGTAAACCTGTGTCAACCCAACAAGCAAATCAGGTTACTTCGATTATCTTCCACAGCACAAATGCCCCTCCCCCTCCGTCGCATTGCAACATCGCTTAGCTGGAGGGAGTGCAGATTATATCTGTCATCATCCACTGCACACTTCAAGGATATCCGGGCGCCACGAGTCTCTTCCATTCAACATCAAATACGCTGTCTATCTTTACGCCGCTCATTTTACGGAAACATCAGTGATCCGAAAATGGCACCGCAACTTGAACCTTTCTTTAAGCAGTAAGCCACAGCATTATTTCACTTGTCCTCAATTTTTGTTGTTGCTGTCTTTGCTTCTACTCTGGCCGTTTCCTTCCTCAGCATATCCTTATACTATGATCCGCTGGCTGACATGGTTTGGGTGACTATCTGCGCAGGGTCGACGACCTGTCTGGCTCTTTCATTGACCGTACGTTACGCTCTCCCAAAACTCTTGCCGTTGGGGATACATCCTCAAATAACTCAAAGGTCTGCGAAAGGCTGTCGCTATCCCATCTATCTCCGCACAGGATGAGAATAGAAAGGATGTCTTCAAGGTATGTACTGCAGCCCAGACTCAGCCCTTATCATTACTAAAGTGATCCCCGTTCTTCCCCATCAGATGGCCCAGTTTCTCGCTTCCGAGCTTGAGAATTTGGGTGCCGAAGTGGAACAGAGACCGTTAGGTAAACAACCTGGAAAGGAGCACCTTGAGCTCCCTCCGGTTGTGCTTGCTCGTTACGGTAATGACAAGAACAAGCGAACTATCTTGGTCTATGGGCACTATGACGTGCAGCCGGCATTAAAAGAAGATGGCTGGGCGACAGAGCCTTTTGAATTGACCGTCGATGATCAGGGAAGAATGTACGGGCGCGGAAGCACGGACGATAAAGGCCCCGTCCTCGGCTGGCTGAATGTTATCGAAGCTCATAAAAGGGCCGGTGTTGAGTTCCCCGTTAATTTACTCTGTTGCTTTGAGGGAATGGAGGAGTACGGCTCAGAAGGTTTGGAAGAATTCATTCACACCGAAGGCAAGGAGTTCTTCAAAGATGCAGATGCTGTTTGCATCTCGGATAACTATTGGCTTGGAACCGAAAAGCCTTGCTTGACCTACGGGCTCCGAGGCTGCAACTATTACTCTGTGAGCGTTTCGGGCCCTGGTCAGGACTTGCATAGCGGGGTCTTTGGTGGCACAGCCCACGAGCCGATGACTGACTTGGTTCATGTGCTTTCTAAACTTGTCGACTCGCAAGGAAATATCCTGATCCCTGGAATCATGGATCTTGTTGAGCCCCTTACGGAAGAAGAAAAATCCCTGTACCCTGGCATCAACTACACTATGGATAACCTTCACGAGTCACTGGGCAGTGAGACAAGCATTCATTCCACCAAAGAGAGAACCCTCATGGCAAGATGGAGGTACCCGTCTCTTTCTCTCCATGGCATTGAGGGCGCATACTCTGCCCCTGGCGCAAAAACAGTAATCCCAGCTAAGGTCATCGGCAAGTTCTCAATCCGAACTGTCCCGAATATGGAAAGTGAGGATGTGAACAAACTCGTTTTCGATTACGTCAAGGCAGAATTTGCCAAATTGAATAGCAAGAACACATTGGACGTCTGGCTCCAGCATGATGGAAAGTGGTGGGTTGCCAGCCCGAAGCATTGGAACTTCTCGGCTGCAAGCAAAGCTGTGAAACAGGTTTTCGGTGTTGAGCCGGATATGACCCGTGAGGGTGGCAGGTATATCTTCCGATTCATTTTCACCATCTGGTAATCTGCTATAGATACTCAGAGACTGACATGCAAATAGTATTCCTGTCACATTAAGCTTCGAGCAAGCTACAGGCAAGAACGTCCTCCTTCTGCCCATGGGAAGCTCAACTGATGCTGCTCATTCGATCAACGAGAAGCTCGATAAGAGAAATTACATTGAAGGAATTAAGTTGCTGGGAGCGTATTTGCATTACGTTGCGGAGGAGCCTATGAACCTTTGAGCATCTGACTGTATGACACCATGGAGACTTTGCCAATCGCTTGAGTCTATGTCGCCCCTCTCACCTCTCACCCGCAGTGTGAGAACATCCAGTGAATGACTTGTCCTCTTCCGATGGGACTTCGACGATACCTGGGGCATCATGACATACTTTGAAGTCTGGAGCTTAGTATCTAGGGATGGTTCGTTTCAATATAAATTATATCATTGGGATAAGCGACCCTGTAGCATCGCAAATTGCTAAGATATTCGCATTATAATCGGAGGCAATGATCACCAGTTGTTCTTTTGCATCTAAGCAATAGCAAGATATACGGCATAGGCAAGATGATAATAAATGCTCCAATAGGGTTGTATCCAATACCCGTTTGGAAGTAAGCATGCAACGAGCTTCGTAAGACAAGACTGACCGCGGTGTTGTTCCTTTCATCAGTCTTCTCCCGAAGGAGCCTTAATGGGATTCCTTTCATGTCACGTGTAATGACGACGCGCGACGACGCGACTTATCAATATCCGATAAGCCTCCAAACACGAAACAAAGATGGGCACAGTTGTTTCAGCTTCAGCGGCCAAGCCACCAAATAGTGAGTGAAAGGGAGCCATCTGGTTCTTTGTCGACCATATCTTTTAATCTGGAGCACTCTCTCTTCTCCCCACTTTTCTCCAAACTATATGCTATGGCCAGCTGTGATCCCGATATTTCAGCCGCCTTTCCTCGATGCCGTCAATGAAACGCTCTCAGACGTCCCTAGAGCCTTCGGACTTGGGTGATGGAAATACTAGCGGCTATTCAAGCTCAGTATGTGTCAGTCTCAATTTAGAAGTAAGGCCGCTAACTTGGACGAACTAGCCAAAACGCCTCCGTAAGACTAACAGTCCTCTTTCAGAGGGGAGCACTGTGAACAGCAATGGTGATGAAGAAATAAGAGTCCGATCCCTTACGCAGGCGCTTGACGATGACGATGAGGATGAACTTGAGTTACGGGCTACCCAGGCCATTCAAGAAAAGTATTCGTTTACTACCGATGAACCAAATATACCTGCCGAGCATGGCATATTGGAGCGTGTTGAATGTTACAATTTCATGTGCCATGACCATTTCTATGTTGACCTAGGCCCTCTAATTAACTTTATCGTGGGCAAAAACGGTAGCGGCAAGAGTGCAGTTCTCACGGCTATTACTCTTTGCTTAGGTGGTAAGGCATCTACTACCAATCGAGGCCAGAGTCTGAAAAGCTTCATCAAGGAAGGCAAAGAGTAGGTGATATTCGATCCACTCTCACATGAAGCGAAGTTCTAATGTTGCAATGAAGGCATGCAACCATTGTTGTGCGAATCAAAAACCAAGGAGACGGTGCTTATATGCCAGATGACTATGGAAAATTCATCACTATAGAACGCCACTTCTCCAGAAATGGTACAAGTGGGTTCAAGATAAGAGCAGAAAACGGCCGTATCATGTCCACCAAGAAGTCAGAGCTCGATGCCATCATTGACTATTTCACTTTGCAATTTGACAACCCTATGAACGTTCTCTCCCAGGATATGGCCCGCCAATTTATCGGCTCATCAAGTCCTAGTGAGAAATACAAGTTTTTTGTGAAGGGCGTCCAACTCGAGCAACTTGATCAAGATTACAGGTTGATTGAGGAATCTGGTGACCAAATCGAGGAGAAATTGAGGGGCCGGGAACAGGATATAGCGATCCTGCAAAGTCGGAAGGAAACCGCAAAACGAAAGCTTGACATTTCCAATCAACATGACTCTCTGCGGAACCGGATCAGGAATGTTCGAAATCAAATGGCCTGGGCTCAGGTGGAGGAACAAGAAAGGGTATCCTTATATCTTCCCAGATCATTCATAACGTTTCTGACAGTCAACAGATAAGGGATACTCTGGACGAAGAAATTCTCGCAGCGGACAACCAGATCGCAGCTGACGAAGCTGATTTGAGCAATTTTGATGTTACTATCAGCGCGGCTGCAGCTGAGCTTGAGGCCGCTGCGGAATCTGTTCGCCAAGCTAATGCGAAGCGAGGCCAGGTTCAAGAGGAGAAAGACGAAATCCAAGTGAGGTGGGATGCACAGATGACTGAGCGTCATGGACTGCAGGTATGATCCGTAAGCACCTTGCATTCACATGAAGAGCTTCCTAATCTCAATCTTAGGCCGAACAACGCCGGATTAGAGAATATCTCAAGGCAGCAGAAGGAAGAATAGCTACTACTCAACAGAATATTGACGAAGAGAACCGGCGTTTAGCCGAGCTTAGCGGCGGTAGCTTTATTCGAAAGCAGGAGGAACTTGAGCGAGCAAAAGAAGAAGCCTCTCGGGCCCGTGCTCAGTATGAGGAACATAGTAGCGACCGTGACCGTCTTTTCCATGACATAAACGAGGCTGAAGAAGAAGTTCAGGCGGCCAAGGCGCCACTCGAGAAAATTAAAGCCGATGTCGATGAGGCTGAATCGCTCTTGTCAACCCTGAAAAGGGAAGGAGGTCCACAGAATTCTGGGTTTCACGAGAGAATGCCACTTCTTTTGAAAGCCATCGAACAAGAACGTTCCTTTACCAGTCGTCCTGTCGGGCCTCTTGGTCACTATGTGCGTCTGCTCAAGCCAGAATGGTCTTCGATTCTTGAGAACGCATTTGGCACCACGCTGAACAGCTTTGTGGTAACTTCACCCAGAGACTCGAAGATTCTCTTCCAGATCATGAGGAAAGTTAGCTGGTAAGTGTTCTGATGTTCGCAACACATTTGGTATCTCTGACAGTGCCGAAAGCGAGTGCCCCGTTCTTATAGGGAGCGATAAACACATCAATACTGCAGGTAATGAACCCGATTCTCAGTACGATACAGCATTGCGGGTTCTTGAGGTGAGGAATTTCTATGGGCGCTATCATGGTGAGACTTGTCGAACTAATTTGCTTCTAGTTTGATAACGAGTGGGTTCGTGGGCAATTGATCATCAACCATCACATAGAAAAGATGCTGCTCATTGAGAATTTAGAAGAAGCCTCTTCTGTTCTTTTTGATGGGCAACAGCCTCGGAATGTGAAAAGATGTTATAGCATTGACCAAACAAACAGACGCAGGGGTATTCATCTTTCTTTTAGCAGGACTGGTGAACCAAGTCAAGCACCAGTCCCAGCCTACAAGGGGTCTCCGCGAATGAGGTCTGATCGGGAATCTCAAATTAAGTGATTAATACCTATCTTTCTAGTCTCTTGCTGGCGCTAACAACTTTATTTCAGAGTACAGCAGAGTGTAGTGGCAGACCTAAAGCAGGACCTTAGCCGTCACGAACAAGGGCTTCGGTCTGCTCAGTCTCGGCTGGAGACCTGCAAGCAAGCCCGTCTGAGACACGAACGAAGATCAAACGAACTAAGAATTGCAGCACAGAGAATGGAAGACCGTGTCGAAGAGTTGATAGATGCACTTGACAGGGAGGCTCCCGAGGATGGGCGCCTTGACGGGCTTCGGACCGCACTCCAAGAGGCAGAAGAGGAAAAGCATCTCAATGAAGGATCCTTGAAAGACGCCACTGATGCTATGGAGGCCATGATGAAAACATTGAAAGCAATCAAGCAAGAGCTCGCAGCCAAAGACGCTGAGATCGCCATCGTACAGGAAGAGCTTAAAGTTGCTCAGGATGCGGAACGCAAGGCTGATGAAGAGCGCCGAAAGAGAATAAATGATAAAAACGCAGCAGCAGAAAGAATCGAGGATCGCAAGCGGGACAGGGATAGAATCAAAGACAAGCGAGAAGAGATCGCGGCACGTATCCTTGACTTCAGTGAAAAAGCGAATATAATCTGTGACCGAGTTGCCATCGAGGAAGGTGAAACAGCGGCTAGTCTGGACAGAAAACTCGAACGACTTCACAACGACATCAAGCGCTATGAGCAACAGTCAGTATAATTATAAGCCTACAAGTATGCCCCGCTAATCACTGCTTAGGTTGGGTGCATCTCGCGATGAATTACTTGCTGAGGTCACAAAGGCTAGCGAAGCCTATGATCGGGCTCTGAAGCAAGTAGAGGAGTTTAGATTGTTGGCTGAAGTACGTGCAGACCTCTCCGCTTCTCCCCGTGAAACATCCATTTGCTGACATAAAGCAAGGTTCTCAAGGCGACACTGAACCTCCGCAAGAACCGCTGGCTTATTTTTAGATCACATATATCATCCCGTGCCAAGGCACAATTCACTTACCTTCTGAGTGAAAGAAGCTTCAGAGGTCGGCTTCTGACCGATCATGAGGGCAAGCTTCTGGACTTACAGGTATGTTTATATTGGCCGTCCTTTTTGCTGAGGTATACTGACAGCGCTTCATAGGTGGAACCAGACATTACAAAAGACAGCGCTGGTCGCGGTGCGAAGACGCTTTCTGGGGGCGAGAAGTCATTTTCTCAAGTATGCCTGTTATTGGCATTGTGGGAGGCTATGGGTTCTCCAATTCGCTGCTTAGATGAATTGTAAGTTTTCCCGGATCTTCAACAAGCCCTGTAGCTGACATGGATTTGATAGCGATGTGTACATGGATCACATTAACCGAAAGATGGCTATTGATATGCTTGTATGTCGGAATTATCACGCTCAAACAGTACGTGCTAACGGTTCTATAAGATGCTAGCTGCCAGACGGTCGATAGGGCGGCAATTCATACTTATTACCCCCGGCTCAAGAGCAGAAATTACTTTGGCGCCTGACGTCTGTGTTAAGGAGTACGTCTGTGAACGAGATTGCTTGAACTGCAGCTAACATGATCCCTGTAGGTTGGCGGAACCCGAGAGGGGTCAGACAAGATTAACATTTTCACGGTAACTTTCAGAGGCTGTTGTAGCACTGGACTTCGTTTCCTACTCTATTGTCGCTCAGGCTATCTGTTCTCTGTCGGTTTCTATTTTTAATTTTTTTTTCTTTTTTTTGGGTCAGATTCCTTCAACCTCACTGCATATCCTGTTTATACATCAACAGCTTCCGTCTATTTTCTGGAATCTTTTCATGCAGTAGCTAGGTTACCTCTTTTACCTTTAGTGGGCCATGGGATAGACCGGGAAAGTCATGGCCTGGACACGGTATAGTGCCGCATTGGCTATACTTGGTTGAAACACTATGTGTAGGGATAAGGTGGTCTTCCGCGGTGGGAGACAATCAAATTCCTAGTCTCACTGGCAGTGAATTTGGAAAGCCGGGGGTTACCAGCAGCATATCAAGCCTAGATCCTTGCAAATCTATAAATCTGATACTGAACGAAATATCTAAAATGTAAGGCCAGATAAGAACTCACATTTTTCAGTGTATTGAACCCAGCGTGTACTTTTCCAGTCCATTGTTAGCAGTCAGTCTATGCGGTGTGGAGTAACTACTAGTTAGTTACCGCCTACGTATGTACCAGATGTGCCTAGGTACCTTAAGACTGCCACATGACCCGTGCTGCGGAAGCTGGTGTTCCGTATTTATGTGTATGATGCGTATTATTCACCACTCCCACCACCACATTGAAGTTTTCCAACCTCTTTCCCCTTCACACCCTATGATAAGCCATTCGCCTTTCACTCAGTGCGAGTCAAATCCGTTAAACAAATCCTCCTAACCCCCTCCAACACCTAATCTTAGGATCGGCTACTCATACATCCGAATTGTTCGAATCGCAGCCCACATCCGTGGCACCCAGTTCTGTCTTCCCGAGTTTCGTTCCTGGCATCCAACCAAACGGCCCGCACACAGGCACTTCACATCAAGTCGCTGTCAAGTTTCTAGTTGACGACTCAATCATCAGAGACCCCTTACACACATCCTTGTCTCTTTCGTCCCTCACTATATCTCTTTTCCGTCCTGATTCGGCTCCGAGCAGCCTCTTTCATTGGGAACGGAAGCACAATCTTTGCATCCGGCCAACTCATTCACCTCACCACCTTGTGTTGTCCACCCGACTTCCGGTCTTCTAGAAGATAGGATTCCCCAACATTAAGTATTTTAACCTATATCATTTTGCTCATAATACCACACAGGCTAATGTATTCCAGACTTGGATTGAGCTAGTGATCATTTCTGTCTGTTCCATCATCGCATTTGAGTGTTCCGCAACAAAACGGTTGGAGGAAGAACAAGCAACCTACCCCACCTCAATCCCAATATTACCTTTTTTTACACCTGATCACCATGACCGACGCCTTAGCCTCTCAGCTGAATAACACTACTTTAGGGTACATTCACTGTCGCACGCTGGTTGATCCATATGATGAGGCTAACTTGAACACTTCGAAGGGATGCGAGCTCAGACGCGAAGTGGAAGGAGCAATTGAATGTCCCTGCCAAAGATGCAAGACCACAAACTGAGGTTCGTCTGACTTATGAACAAATGGTATAAATGTCGATAGCGATCTAATGCGGCTTAGGATGTGACTGCTACGAAAGGCTTGGAATTCGAAGACTTCTATATCAAACGCGAACTGATGATGGGTATATTCGAAGCTGGGTTCGAAAAGCCTTCTCCAATTCAGGAAGAGACGATACCAGTTGCTCTTACAGGCAGGGATATCTTGGCGCGAGCCAAGAATGGCACAGGAAAAACAGCAGCTTTCGTTATCCCTACCTTGGAGCGCATCAATCCTAAAAGCACCAAGACACAAGCCCTTATCCTTGTTCCTACGAGAGAGCTGGCGCTCCAAACGTCACATGTCTGCAAAACCTTGGGAAAGCATCTTGGTATCAATGTCATGGTCACCACAGGAGGTACTGGCTTGATGGATGACATCATTCGGCTGAACGACGCAGTCCATATTCTCGTTGGGACCCCAGGAAGAGTCCTGGACCTGGCCAGCAAAGGGGTTGCTGACCTTTCCGAGTGTCCTACCTTTGTTATGGACGAGGCTGATAAATTGCTGTCACCTGAATTCACGCCAGTCATCGAGCAACTACTATCATTCCATCCTAAAGACCGCCAGGTTATGCTTTTCAGCGCCACCTTTCCACTTATTGTGAAGTCATTCAAGGTATGCTTCGTACACAAAGATATCGCATTTCTCCTCGTGGGTGCTGATATTTTTAGGACAAACACATGCGCAATCCTTACGAGATCAATCTCATGGATGAGCTCACTCTCCGCGGTATTACGCAGTATTATGCTTTTGTTGAGGAAAAGCAGAAGGTCCACTGCTTGAACACACTCTTCTCCAAGTTACAAATCAATCAATCTATAATCTTCTGCAATTCTACTAACCGAGTCGAGTTGCTCGCGAAGAAGATAACGGAATTGGGTTATTCTTGCTTCTATTCCCATGCCAGAATGCTTCAGCAGCATCGCAACCGGGTGTTCCACGATTTCAGGAATGGCGTTTGCCGGAACCTTGTTTGCTCGGATTTGTTAACTCGAGGTATTGATATTCAAGCCGTCAATGTTGTCATAAATTTTGATTTTCCGAAGAACGCCGAGACTTATCTGCACCGAATTGGTCGCTCTGGTCGCTTTGGACATCTTGGTCTTGCTATCAACCTTATCAATTGGGAAGACCGGTTCAATTTATATAAGATTGAGCAGGAACTTGGAACTGAGATCCAGCCGATTCCGCAAAACATCGACAAGAAGCTTTATGTCTACGACTCACCGGACACAATTCCACGCCCTATTGCCAACCCATCCCAGCCTCAGATTACTGCTCAAGCCGCGAATGCAAACATTGGTGAGCGTCGTCACAATCACCATATGAATGGCGGGCAGTACCAGTACGGTAGGGGCCGGGGCTCTTATCGCGGAGGTCGTGGACAAGGCCAGCGTCGCAATATGCAGAACGAAACCAAGTTTGGCACTCAAGGACAGTCAAGCGGCAAGTCCCACCCGACGCAAGTGTCATAGACAGTCATAGGGGCATGAGCTACTCCGTATTTTATTGTTCCACTTTCTACTCATATCTTGCACGTTTCCTTGTCTTTCTATCGTATTCCAAGTTCATTGTTCTGTTCGCCTTCTCTTTTCCTTACCCCCCCCCTCTTTCAACCTCTCCCGGTCGTTCATTCGATTGGAGAAGCCAGATTACAGGTGACTACGGTAGTCTGTTTCAAGCACATTTTACAAATGCATCCTTTCTGTCATCGTTGCTGCACTCACTTACCCAATATCATATCAACTATGATCTATGATGACGTTTGAAGAACTGTATTATAACGCATGCTCTCCCTCTTCTCTCCGTTCCGTGTACCTCTTCGGCCGCCTTACTTCGCGCTTCCTACCATCTCATTCTATACCCTACTCGACTCTGTTCTCCAGTTCGCCGCGTCAGAACATGATGTACCTGCATTAGACGGTATGCACTTGGTACGGTGAGCACCATTATTTGCCTTTCGGCTTCCTTCCATGTACATAATTTCTTCTGCTCCACACCAGATGATTCGATTTAGGGTTTCGGGGCGTTTCCGGGCTTGACTTCCGTCCATTCCTTCTTTTGGCGTTTGAAGGTCTCTTTTAACTGACAGGTGGGTATTTACTGATCAATACCGATAGCTGCATGGCTATTCCGTCATTGCATATGCGTTATACGACTCCGAATCTTTGGGGTGAACGATGTGCCGAGTTGAAATGTCTACTCCCGACTTGCCTATGAACCTTGGCTCAGTCATGATTACAATGGTCTGCGCGATTTGTGGTCTGCGATCTGCATTCGGCGCACTGCGTTATTGGAGTTTGTTGTTATTTTGTGGCTTTATAAGTGGGCCATTATTGGACCGAGTGATCTGGCCATTTTCTCACGCATCACATCCTCTCGACCAGTCACACCTAACAGTACTTCCACCGCCATAAACATTGCAGGTGGCATTTTTTGCCATCTGCTGATGGACGCCTTTGTGGATTACAGCAGAGGCTCGACGTCTGTTTGGTCTGAATTTGGTCTGAAGACACATACCCTGCTTTGTGTTCGCCGACTAGGAACTCAATCTGGCATTTCAAATAGCCTCTGACTTCGGCGGCGCGATTGTGGATGATAACTGGGAAAGGGAATAGAAGGAGGCCGGAGAGTTTGTGCATGGATGCTATGTTCAAAGGTGAAACGGGTGGGGATTTCACGAGTTGAAGGGGGAATATGACAATCCAGAAGGGAAAGAAAAAAAAGAAAAAAAAAAAAAAAAAAAGAAAGAAAAGAAAACGAAATGAAGGAGAGAATGGCAGAAGCGAAGGACAAAATAAAAAAGAGAAAGAAAGAAAAAAAAAAAAGTATTAAAATGGATGTGAAAAGCCCAGGGAGTGATTGATGCCGCCGCGTTCTCTCAAGTTTCACAGCTTACAGTCTTAAGTATGTAGCACCTAGCGGAATGGAATCTTTAATCCCTGGGAAACAACCAGAATCATCTCAATAAATGTGAATGTATACCCCAATTTACGATATCGGAAAGAGTGATAATGGTACTACGGAGCCCAGTTTAAGCTTAACTGAAAATACTGTTCTAATTACCTAAGGACTACCCCACGTAACTGGGTGGGTTGCGGGAATTGCTCTCGCCGAGCCCCGTATCCCTAGTATGACTCCTAGTGCTGAGTGTCTCCCAGCGAATACAAAGTAGTCAGCTAACAGGCTCTCACACGGCTCCTGCAGCAAATACCCGGCAATGGCAACCTCCGAGAACGATAAGAGGTCTAAGGTCTGCTGCAATCCTCTTGGTACCCAGCCATTCACCGATGTTTCTTCCTAACAAAGTAGTAGCCCAGCAGCCTGCGGTCCATTATCGCAGGCTCTACTGCCGGTGCAGTCGAGATCGGTAACCATCCTCTTATTCTAAATCAAGATATCGCTTGCTAATTTGATGGCAGCAATTACCTACCCGGCCGAATGTAAGACCTATTCAAGCCTGGACCTTCCAATGATCGCTTAACACCTGGCACGCTCAGTTGCGAAAACCCGATCCCAGCTCAATCGCAGATTACCGGACGCAAAGAAACTCCCATGGCCGCCATTTGGATCACAATGGTACGCTGGGTGCACAACTTTGATTATAGGGAATTCACTTAAGGCAGGAATTCGTGAGTCCATCCTGTTCCACCGAAACGATCTTGACCTGTATGGTAGCTAATGCTGAGATCTAATTTAACAAAGGGTTTGTCGCCTTCGATTGGCTGAAATCGCTTTTGCAGGATGAAAACGGCCAGATTTCTGGACCAAAAACAGTCATCGCAGGTTTCGGCGCAGGATTTACAGAGTCATTGCTAGCTGTTACTCCATTTGAGAGCATCAAGACACAATTGTTCGTTAAGTTCTAACTCTCATCATACCAACACACTGGGCCATAGCTTCTGCTGCAGATTGTACAAATAGTACTAACTCTGTATGATGTCAATAAATACTGCAGGATCGACGATCGCAAATCACAAAATCCTCGCATGCGTGGATTCCTACATGGCAGTAGAGTGATTTTTCAGGAGCGAGGTGTTCGCGGTTTCTTTCAAGGCTTCGTTCCTACAACTGCACGACAGGCTGCCAACTCGGCTACTAGGTTTTCGAGCTACACGATGTTGAAACAAATGGCTCAGGGTTACGTCGCTCCAGGTGAGAAGTTGGGAACCGCGAGCACCTTCGCTCTGGGAGGCATTGCAGGCCTTATCACTGTGTACGTCTACCTACCCCTCGGGCATTGCTTGTGATTATTATACTGACTCTCTTGCGTGATAGCTATGTTACACAGCCTCTTGATACTGTCAAGACAAGGTATGTATCGGGCAGGCCAGGGGATATCAGCCGTACTCTGACACAACAGCAGGATGCAATCGCTGGAGGCCAGCAAGAACTATAAGAACAGTTTTGTCTGCGCTGCACGTATTTTCAAGGACGAGGGCATCTTCACATTCTGGTCTGGTGCTGTCCCACGGCTAGCGAGATTGATCATGAGCGGAGGCATAGTGTTTACGATGTTCGTGCTAAAACAACCCTTTTCGCCTGAGTGTGCATGCGACTAACCCTTTCATAGGTACGAGAAAACCATGGATGCTTTGGATGGTCTCGATCCGGAAAGGCGATACATTTGATGGGATACACTTTGGCCAGTAGGTGCGACACATGGTGAGAAGAACCATTACTATTTGGATTACCCAATGCATGTGAATTTTATAGTGTGCCATGTGCCATATGATATGACTGTATTTACATCATGCCTATAAGCGAATAGCTGTCTTTGCGGCGATACCTGACCCTATCACAGTTGGGCACGCAGCCCTTCTTTGTCTTGGACTGATTCTTCAGCAGCCATGGCCTCTATTTCGCGCTCGACGAGCCATGTCCGTACGCTATCCATTACGGTTTCTAGGCCTTCACCACCATCAAGAACACTATCCAGGTTATGTATGGTGAGGCCGCTGCGATGGTCTGTGCAGCGATTCTGACCGTAATTGTAAGTTCGGATCTTGTCACCGCGTCCCATTCGAGCAACACCGCCCATTGCTCCTCTCCTTAGGTTAACCAATTCCTGTTCTCGGGCTTCTCGTCTTGCTTCAGCTAATCTCGCCCGCAAAACCTGCCAAGCCTTCTTCCGATTGGCATGTTGGGAACGTGAATCTTGCATAGAGACAACGGTACCCGTTGGTATATGGGTCAACCGAATAGCTGACTCGGTTTTATTGACATGCTGACCGCCTGCGCCACCGGCTCGCATCTTCTCTGTGCGAACCTCTTGAGGATCCACATAGTAGTCACTGTTTGGGTCCTCAAAATTGAGTGAACTATCAAGGCCACTCCCGGAGTCTGGAAAACTAGGAAGTATCATCACACTAACGGCACTGGTATGTGTGCGGCCCTTGGCCTCGGTAGCGGGAACCCTCTGTACTCTATGAACTCCCGACTCTGTTCTCAGGATGTCATAGGCCCCATCCGCGTCAACTTCCAGGACCGCTTCACTCAATCGGTCTTGCGCAGGGCCGTCTGCAACATCCTGTTTTATGATGCTATACCTGAAACCACGACGTGAACAGAAGGCGATATACATTCTCAATACCTCGAAAGCAAAAAGGCCAGCCTCGTCCCCACCTGCGCCGGGGCGTATTTCGAGCAAGCATGGGAGGTCTGCGAAAGGGTGGCGAGGTATAAGAGCCTTCTTTAAATTATCCGCTATGGCAGGCAGCGCGATCTTGCTGCTCTCCAGGTCTTCAACTGCAAGCGACCTCAGCTCAGCATCGGTTTCTGGGTCATCAAGCAGGGACAAAAGTTCCGATATAGACTGCAAAATGTCAATAGAGCTGAATACAGGAATACATTGGAGAAATACATACACTATTTGCGTGTTCCCACTCTTTCAAGGTACTCGCAATTGGTGCGAGTTCACCCACTCGCTTGGCGAGTTTCGCATCAAATACCTCAGCCAAATGGGCGGAGAGTGTGGAATGTTCACTGGTCAAAGAACGAGCGCGTGCTAATAGGGCTTGTGAAAGGCCTGAGGAATCTGCCTCGGACCACGTCAGTTCCTTCCTAGACGGTGAAACAGAAATAGATATGAAGGAGGTATAGCAGACCAGTCTTTAGACCGCGATGTTGTAGAAACAGACGCGGATTGGAGCCAATCCTAGCAGCAGACCGCACGAAACATCGAGCGCATATCCACGGCGCGTTGAACATATTCTATCGAGCTGGGGTTGAATAAACCATGCTCGTTGGTCCAGACTCTCAAAAATCCAGCTGCTGGAGTCTCGGCTAGCTCGAGATTTGGGGCATGCGGAGGTTGTTGGTATGGCAAGTCCGGATACGGGATCATCAGCTCCATACGGAAATCGAACGTGTGGTAATATTACCGTATGTAATGTCGTCGTAAAGGCCAGACTGGAAGAAGGTGGTCATGGATCAAGCTTCCTTTTTCCTTCCCCTTCGACGAAGGACGATATAGTGTCTGTCCTGCCCGCTACTGTTAGCATTGATAATATGTGAAGTGCTTTCCGACCTTTTCCAGGTCCCTCATGCTCTTTATACCTTCAATCCTCGGTCATCTGTTCCATGCTGACCATAAGTCCTAACCTATTATGATATTTGCGCCATAATTAAATCCTGCTTCCATCGTCAAAGTCCCATTCCAGGTGTTTCACGAACTAGACGAACATGCACTTGCCTCTAACATCTCTTACGGTCTTTCTGGCCTTTCTTTCCGCTGGCCATGGCCTGCAGTCTTCTCAGATCCCCTCTGACACCCCACTATCATCGTTGATCGCTTCTGCAAAATCCCACCTTGCGGGTGGTTCCCCCCGCGAGGCCTTGGTGTATTTTGATGCGGCTGTGTCCAGGGATCCCACAAATTATCTTACACTCTTTCAGAGAGGTGCTACCCAGCTGAGCCTGGGTAAGAGCTCACTGGCTCTTGAAGACTTCGACCGGGTTCTTCAACTGAAGCCAGACTTCGAAAGCGCTCTTCTACAGCGGGCACGACTGAAGGCCAGCTCTGCTGACTGGGCAGGTGCGTTGGGTGATCTTGATAAAGCTGGTAAGAGGTCCACACCAGAGTATCAAGAACTCCGGGAATCGCGTGATGCTGCGTCTGCCGCGCTGGAAGCGGAAAGTCGCGGAGCCTGGGATGTCTGTGTAAGCCAGGCGAGTATAGCTTTGGCCAAGGCAACGATGTCTTTAAGCCTGCGGCGGGCTCGGGCACATTGTCGCTTTGAGACGGGTGAAACAGAACAGGGAATCAGCGATCTTCTTCACGTGCTACAGATTCACCCGAGCTCCTTGGAGCCCTATCTACAGATATCGTCGACACTTTTCTATGCCTTGGGAGACACGGACCGCGGTATTTCCCAAGTCCGCAAATGTCTACATTCTGACCCTGATTCGAAACCGTGCAATCGCCTTTACAGAAGGGAGAGGCAGCTTGTAAAACAGTTCCAAAAATTGGAGGAAGCTGTGAATGCGCGAAAACACAACAACGCCATTAATATACTGGTAGGGGTCAGTGGTGAAAGCGGTCTCCTCGATGACGTGCAGAAGGATGCTGCACAGGCAAAGGAGGATGGTCTTATTCACCCAAAAGCCCCGAGCAGCCTTTATGCCTCACTCGTCGAACGGACCTGCGAGGTTTTCCGGGAGGTTCGTTCACTCAACCCCTACTAAAGATCCTCTTTTCGCGGTACATTACTAAATCTTGCATCACTTCAGGCGCAAATGCCCAAACGGGCTAGTCCATACTGCTCGGAGGCTTTGACTTTCGATCCTAATTCTTTACCGGCGCTCCTCCTCGAGAGTCAGCATGCTATTGACGAGGATCGGTTTGATGATGCTATACGGTTGCTAAACCAAGCCAAGGAACATCATTCCAATTCGAGGGAAGTTCAGGCCCTGTTGCAGAAGGCCCAAGTTCTACAGAAACGTTCCAAGCAGAAAGACTACTACAAGGTTTTGGGTGTGAGCCGCGATGCGGACGAGAGGACTATCAAGCGTGCTTATCGGCAGCTTACGAAACAGCACCACCCTGATAAGGCCATTTCCCAGGGTGTTACCAAGGAGGAGGCTGAGAAGAAGATGGCCTCAATTAATGAAGCTTACGAGGTACTTTCTGATCCTGAATTGCGATCCCGGTACGACAACGGCGATGACCCCAATGACCCAGAGTCACAAAGGGGCAGGCCATTTCAAGGGAGTCCGTTTGGACCAGGCGGACAATTTTTCTTCCAGCAGGGCGGCGGTCCGCAATTCAAGTTCTCGGGTCAGGGCTTCAACTTTCCCGGCGGTTTCCCTTTCCGCTGATGTTGGGGTCCGGACTTCTGAATGCTGGGAAAACATATTGTATTTAGATCATTCTAGTTTAAACTTGTTTCAATCTCTTTCGAGATTGACAATCATTCTGTGCCATAGCCAAGCCCTGGTCTACTAATACAAAGCAACACTAATTTCAACAAACCGTATTCATACACATTCTGCGGTCTCGGGTTCAAGTACTCTGGAACGGGTTGATTATGTCGATACAGATTGGTTTTGTGCTCCCCTCTACGTTCGCTTCATCCCTTGCACAGTCTTATCTTCCCGGGCGGTCAGTTAGAGGAACGTAGCTAACCTGGAATACTTTTTCCTTGCGGACCGAACCATCCCCACTTTTATCAACTACCCAGATATATTGTCCGCCCCCCAGCCCAAAGCTAGCCTCATCATCCTCCGCGTCAACGGGTATGAACATTCGCCCTGGTGCGCGGAGCTGCTCGATGAGTACGGGGTGAAGATGATGCGCGGCCGCGCCAACATGGATGGCGTCGTACGGTGCACCTTCTTTCCAGCCCAGACGACCATCGGCGGTGATGAATTTCACCCTTCCGGAGTCAAGGAAGTTGCTGCCATCTTTCGATTTGCGCATGTTTGTTTGTGCCAGTTCCACCAACTCCGGAATGTGGTCTACACCTATAACCTGGCCATCGGCTTCGCTCGTGGACGAAGGATCCACGACGAGGTTTGCAAGCACGTGGGTGAGGTAACCCGAACCAGACCCGATGTCCAGCACACGCGAGCCTGGCTTCAGGTAATCGATGAGGTATTCGCAGGCATGTCCATGCATGTGAGGAGCAGAGATGGTAGCTCCATGTCCGATGGGCTGCGGTGAATCTGAGTATGGCCTTGAGGGGGCATAATGGGCGCGATCGACCTTGCACTCTAGTCAGAAACGCCATTTCACCCAGGAAACAGGGAGGTTGTCTGGTCGTGCAGTGTCCATCTAGGTGCGGATATGTGGCTAGAAGTGAAGGAAACGGGGCGGATGGAAAGAGGAAGGAGAGGGGGGGGCGGCGATTGTGTTAACCCAGGGTAAACGCTGGCCGCAATGTCTTAAACAGTGTGTGAAGTTCAGGGATAGGAGCTACTACTCACGCCTAGCATGGCATTCTTCACTCTTTCATCTTTTATCAGACCCGTCTTGAACAGGTTCGCGATAAGCTCGCTATTCGTGGAGCCAGAGCAATACCACGCCATTGACAAGGACCTTTGCAGAAGCTTCTTGGGTAATGAAGACACGCTTATGGGTGTCTTCTTTAGCATGTAGCGCGCAAGTGGTTTGTTTTACTTTAGGCCGACACAGCAAACGGAGCCAGTCGCAGACGCCAATATTTGGCCTGGCCTGTAGATGTGATCAGAGGTATTAACTGCAGGTACGTCACATGAGTATTGTAATCGTAGCCTTAGGTAGCTATGACGCCATGCTTAACCGCTTCCGATCACGTGTATGTACCCGGGGTTGAACCTCTTCGGGATCTTGGTGAAGCACGCCGGAGAGCTTATGTATTGTCGATTGTTTTGTATGGGGATAGGCAAGCAAGCATGGTATATCATGCAGTAGAGTGTTAGTCAAGTGGGTAATTATACGTGACGGCATTCGCCCACTGAGTGGTATCACTTTGATCCTTTGTACAGGTGTACATATACATACATATATATATATATACACATAAACTCGGGTATGGTCGTAATGATAATGCGTCCCGAGAACTACACCTATGCTCTGAACCGATGTAATCCATCATCATGTACAACTGAATACGCGCCGGAAGAAAAGAATAGGCCTTACTCAAGGAACCAAAGCCCATGGCCTTTCAAGCCTCAAGAAGCTAAACTCACACTGACAAACTACCTTGTACCGTCGGACTCGACAAGCAAATAACCCAATCGCGCAAGGGCCGGGTAACTACTAGTAGATAGCCACACTGGCTCCAACACAATTACTAATTAAGCACATTAACCAATCATCGAAATGACCAGCCAATCAATAGTTGATTACCTCGCAGCTATTCACGGACCGTAGTTAACCAATTGACCAGTTAAATAACCAAACACAGGGCCCGGGCCGGTATCACATTTTTGAAAATTCACAGGACAAAGCATACTGTATTAGCTCGACCCATGGATTGTGGCGGGATTTAGAAGCCCTCACCCTTTAAAACAGTGCGATCATACGACCAACAGAATGGCTAAATTGCTAGCTGGCTGCATCACCCCACCATGGAATCGCTCACAGCAGACCCGGATACCCAAGTTGAGGTAGACCTTATGATACTGGATTATCTCCTGTGCATGGCCATTGACCAAGTCCTGAGCCCCGGGAATGGTGGAGAGACACAGTATGCACATGAATGTGACATTAGCTGGAGTTTGAAAACTATCAACAGTATGGACACTCCTATGCGCTTGATAGCAAGTCACAGGTACTGACGTTCAACTCAACAGCTATCAAGGCTGCACTCCTACCATCAGATATCCTTCCCAAGGACATGCAGATAAAAACCCAGATATTAGAACTCGCACAATTGTTCAGTGATGGCAATGGACATCCAGAGCCAAGCAGACGACCGGCTGTCGAGCCGTCGCAGGGAGATCAGCGCACAACAACCGAGAACAGGAGTCCAATAGCCCAGTCTGAAAGAAGGCCGCCCCAATTGCACCAATCCCATGAAAACGACAAACCACCCGCCCACAATAGCCGGGATCTCGCATTGAATAGATCCTACAATACACTAGTCAGATTTGTCGCCCTTTGCGGCACAGCGGTAGATAATCTACCAGATGGACACGCTGATACTACTGCAAAATTAATAACTGAAGCTGCACTGAACGATTATCACATGGCGGGTGCTCAATCGCCAGGTAGGTACAGGGAATGCATTGAACATGTTACTGCGTGCCTGCGCGAAGATCTGGACCCGCATGCGGACCAGGCAAACCTGGAATACCTGAGCACCCTCCTACCACCCATCGACCTTTTATTAGACGTGTCGGAAGGATCTGGGCAAACTTCATCACTCGGAGATACCACTACCCGTCTGGTACATCGTTTCCTGACCGACCTAATGAAGACACTAGACCCTCCAATACTCATTCAACTCGAGAGAGGAAGACTTGGAGGACTGAGCCGTGAAGAGACCCAGCAGTTGAAGGACAGGATAGGGTTTTGATAGTAGAGAACGTCTTGACTAGTATGTACATGGTAAATCGAGCCAAAGTATTGGAATCCAGAACAACCATAGGCAGCAATCAAGCTCAATGAAGTTTGTATTGTAAGCTGATACTCTTGGATACATGTCCACACAGGACTGTTATTCTACAATTCGAAAGCCTAAGTGCAAAAAATAAAAGAGGCGTAAGAGAATGGGTGATGGATGCCTGAGACCTCCGGTACCCAACAGGTCAGTTCAATCAGCATGAAGCGTGAAAGATCTACCCCAGCAGCATCCGACGGGGGTCTTCAATGTATTCCTTGACCTGCGTTTAGCCAGAGTTAGCACACAATCCATAAAAAATGTCCAAAAAGAATGATTAACCTTAACCAAGAAAGTCACAGCCTCACGGCCGTCCAAGAGTCGGTGATCGTAAGTCAGGGCAAGATACATCATCTGCTCGCAATATTAGCGACCATCACAGCCTTTTCTCCTTTTCTGAGGCTTCATGCAGAAGTATGGGAACATACAGGGCGAATTTCAACTTTACCGTTCACAGCCACCGGCTTGTCTTTGATTGCGTGGAGTCCGAGAACAGCTTGAAAAAGAATTAGATATACAACCAAGCGATACGCCAAGATTCAGACCTACCTGTCTGTGGGAGATTAATAATGGGAGTTCCCATCAGAGAGCCAAAAACTCCGCCCTAGGTGTACTGTTAATAACTGAGCGAACACCTGGTAGAAAAACAGGTAAGCACTCACATTGCTAATGGTGAAAGAGCCTCCAGCCATGTCCTCGATAGTCAACTTATTGTCACGAGCCTGGCAAAAAGCACGTTAGCCGGTTCTCATTAAGCCAGCTTCCAGAACACCCCTCACCTTCTTGCCAAGATCCGCGATTGCTTTCTCAATGCCAACGAGGTCCATGGTCTCCGCATTGCGGACCACTGGTGTCACGAGTCCTTTCTCAGTGGCAACGGCCACACTGATATCCACGTAATCACGATAAACGATAGTGTCCCCACCATTGGGACCTTCAATGGAGGCATTAACAGCAGGAACGTCTTTCATGGCAAGAACGCAAGCGCGAGAAAAGGCACTCATGAATCCGAGTTTGACACCAGTCTTCTTCAATACATCGTCCTTGTACAGCTTGCGGAACTCCATCAGAGAGGACATGTCGACTTCGTTGAATGTGGTGAGAGAAGCTGCCGTGTTCTGGGACTGCTTCAGACGTTCCGCGATTCTTAATCTCATCCTGTTCATTTTCACCTATTGAGAAAGTAAAAAGACTCCAATGTTAGTGGAGGAAAGAAAAAGGAAGGTAGATATAGACAATTAGTCAGGTACATACCCTCCGCTCTTCGCGACCCCCAACGCTGGGCTTCGCATCTTCGGAGACCTGCGGCTTTGTAGCTGCCGGCTCTGTTTTCTTTGAGGGACTGGGCTCCGGAGGTGTGGCCTTCTGGGAGGAAGACTGGGGTGCCTCGGGTGCCTTAGGTTTCTCAGGTTCGGAAGCCGTGGGCTTGTCAGCAGCAGCTGGCGCGGCCGGCTTTTCAGTTGCGTCTTCCTTCTTGGTTTCAGGGGCGCCACCAAGCTCCAATTTGACAAGGTCCTGTCCAACTGTGACGGTGTCTTCCTCGCTCACGAGGAACTCCTTGATGGTACCGGATTCAGGGGCATTAACGGATACATCAATCTACACAAGTGAGTCGCTGTTTTATACTCCACAGGGGCATATCCATTGCAGCAAGAGGCGGCCATCGCCCAGTCTCAGCGCTTACCTTGTCAGTCTCAATGGTTGCGATCTCCTCGTCCCGTTCAACGTAGTCACCGATCTCTGCCCGACAATATTAGCCCGATCTATATATGCTTCGAGTGCTGGGACCTCACGTTTGGAGAATTGCTTCAATGTCCCTTCGGTGATCGATTCCGCCATCTGCGGAACCTTGACAACAGTGTCCGCTAACCGGAAACAACAACAGGCTTTAGTAGAGTAGCGTTTGGAGACAATGGAAGGGAACTTTACCATAAGTCCGCACCTGAGTAGCCCCGAAAGGAGCGATACTGAAGCGAGACATTTTGGGCCTGTGACAACGGTTAGTCGTTGATTGCCGTTAATCAAAAAAAGACTTGATGCCACTGACCCCAGAGCCGTAACCTGCTGGAGACTCGCGCTTGACTTGAGAGAACCATTAACGCTCTTCTGGAGTGCAACAGACGTCAAGCTTCTGGCGCGGCCGATGTGGAGGCTGCGGGAAACGCTGTTGTTTCGATGAAGAGTCCTCAGGTGTTGCCCAGAGAGGCGATGAAACGGTAATCGAGAAGCCATGATGACTGGTTTGAGTCCGTCTGAATATTCAGATTTGCAAGAATTGTAGGAATGTAGCCGGGAGTTGTGGTAGAATAAATAGGGCCCCCTAAAGAGTGGACGGTATGTTGTCGGGCTCTAGTCCAAGTCCTAGGTATGGATATTTCCTGTCGGGAACTGTAGAGTGACGAAACTTATGTCAGTCGAGGGCACTGCAAGCTCAAGCCCGGGCCGAGACAACCGGAATTTCCCTCAACGAGCGCGGCATTCCCTGCGCCCGGCAAATGAACGGAGTATTATTATTACGCTACTGCGGGCGTCGAAGCACACCAACTTGGTACTTTCGTGACCCGCATAGGGATCATTAACGGCTAGGCAACTGAACGAGCTGTAAACTTCGTGCAAAAACCCATAGACTACAACCCGACAGCCTTGGTGCACAAACGCCGCAGGCCCCAGAGACAAGTGCCTTAAGACAACTCACGCCTACGGAACGAATTTGCTGCAAATCACGATGCCTCTCAACGCTGGCGCGTAGGTTGACCGAAGGAAGAGCGAATAGAAGATATCCTGACTTTGTTGTCCAGTTCACTTTATCGACGGTCCCTGAAATTGGCTCTTGATTGGGCCGTCCACCGCCATATCTGGAGAGGACAAGCCGTGTATATTCGCTCACTTTTTGAGGCCAACAAAGATGTTCGCGATCCCCGTCAGCAGAAGGCAAGTGCTGCTTCCTATCGCATTGAATAACTAGAGTTCGAAGAACTGACGGTGAAACGGAAAGGTATTGCTGCAAGAGACAGAAAAGCTTCTAGAGACATGGAAACACCCTGACCCTTACCGCGCGCCTACGGCCCCGGGTGGTGAGTTGAACAGAGTGTGCTTTATGAATCGAAAGATCAGGATCTGACATTTCTTCAGGCAGCAAATACGAGAGAAACATCCCTGCCCCTCAATTGCCTCGTGAGTGAACCAATGATGATCTGCTGAAAGTATAGATTATTGACGCGGAGATATCTGCTAGTTGCCTCGGACAGCTCGACACACTGAGTATAACTGCAGCTTCTTTGCGCATTCATCTTGTATACTTAGGTCCATAGATGAAAATAAAACTGACTATAACATCTATATGCTCTGAGCGACCATAGTTATACGGGTCACTATTAAAGGACAATATAAAGACACGCCATTGGCTTTCAATGGTTGAGCAAAATTCCTACACAAGTCCTGACTAGAGGGTAGGATTGAATCAGTGAAAATGCTGTCGGTATCATTCCATGTCCGTAGACATAATGTACAACCATAAACTGTGGAAACTAGAAAAAAAGAAATCGCAGAGCCATAAACGTTCCGACCAGAACCCCGTTATCACATCAATAAGAGAACCAAACCGCGCCGAATCAGAGAACCCAAATTAGAAAGAAATTGTTTACAGCTCCTGGCTTCCCGGACCCTTTCCACTCTTGGGGGTCTTCTTGGGCAGAAGGTCTATGTATTGTCAGTACCACATGCTGAATTAACAAATGGAGCCAATACTTACTCTGGTGGATGTTGGGGAGGACACCACCCTGGGCAATGGTGACATGACCCAGGAGCTTGTTCAGTTCCTCATCGTTGCGGATGGCGAGCTGAAGGTGACGGGGAATGATACGGGTCTTCTTGTTATCGCGAGCAGCGTTGCCAGCCAATTCAAGAATTTCGGCGGCGAGATACTCAAGAACGGCAGCGAGGTAAACGGGAGCACCTATTATCATGAGGTTAGAGTTGCCTTTTGGGTTAAAACGAGTATCACTAACCGGCACCAACACGCTGAGCGTAGTTGCCCTTGCGGAGGAGACGATGAACACGTCCAACGGGAAAGGCGAGACCGGCCTTGGACGAACGGCTGTGACCGGGTCAGTATATTTAATGAATATCTCGAGATGACGCTCGAGATGAACGGGTGGCATACGATTGGGCGTTCTTGCTGCCGCTGGCCTTGCCTCCAGATTTGCCTCCAGTCATTTTGTTGGATGGTATGTGAGGTTTTTTTTTTTTCCTTTCGAAGGTGTTTAATTTATTAGGGAGTTGTAGTTAACAAGTGACGATGGCGATAAGCGTGATATGGTGCTAAAGGGTTGACGGCCAACGCGAGGGAGCGGAGGACATATATAACAACGCGATCAGGGTGACGTTGGACTACCCGGGAGCCTTTCAGATCACCCTCTCGCTTAGCGGGGTCAGCCAATCACAAATGAGATCATGCTCCGGCGCACCCATAGCTTGGCAAAGCGTGTTTGGTATGATTCCGCGCGTGGTTGCCCCAATTGGGTTAAGCGTGGTAATTAATAGTTATCGTTTCGATACGGTCATGTTAGCGTGATCTTAGCCAACTCCCCACAGTGGACGACGCGTTCTCCCTCATCTAATCATACAGATCATACATAGATGTGACCGTATTGAAATTCTGCTTCTTTTGCGGACTCAGGATCAACTGAGTATTTGCGAGCTAGTATAAGTAGCGCGCCTCCCTCGTCACCGCGTCTCCCTCATTCTTATCCTCATCTTCACTCTATCCTCTGTCGACGCCAACGCAACCACCGTATCCTATACCCTTATCACAACTTTCTTCACCTTTCACACCTAATCTCAAAATCTTTCAATATGCCTCCCAAAGCCGCTGAGAAGAAGCCCAGCACCGGTGGCAAGGCCCCGGCAGGCGGCAAGGCTCCCGCTGAGAAGAAGGAAGCCGGCAAGAAGACTGCTGCCGCTGCCTCCGGCGACAAGAAGAAGCGTGGAAAGACCAGGAAGGAGACCTACTCGTCTTACATCTACAAGGGTGAGTAATCTTAAGACTTGTATTCCTAGTCAATAGTTGTTGACTGTGTTATAGTCTTGAAGCAGGTCCACCCTGATACCGGTATCTCGACTCGTGCTATGTCCATCCTGAACTCCTTTGTCAATGGTATGTCGTGAATGAAGCAGGGTTATACCTTCAGCAAGCACCTAACGCGGTCTAGATATCTTCGAGCGTGTCGCGACCGAGGCCTCGAAACTTGCCGCTTACAACAAGAAGTCCACCATCTCTTCACGGGAGATCCAGACCTCGTAAGTCCTCTGTCGATCAAGATAGTAGCAATTCGCTAACACCTCTCTAGTGTGAGGCTCATCCTTCCCGGTGAATTGGCGAAGCACGCGGTGTCGGAAGGCACCAAGGCTGTCACGAAGTACTCGTCGTCTGCCAAATAAGCATTTTCTTTCCTTTTTTCTTTCTGCAGGATTGTTCTTTTGCTACCTCGTCATCTGTTACGGTTTTGAGGTGGTGGGTTACAGGGTGTTCGCGGGATTCTAATGTGTCATGGGATGGCTTTATTTCTTTTTTTCCCCTTGGGCCAAATGTTTTATGGTTGTTTTTTTTTTGTGACGTGAATGCGGTGTAACATAACTCGGATGTGGGGTTGGTTGCGCGGGTTTACCTTCCCCAGCAGAATTCGAATATCAAATTGCCTAGTTGCATGTCTATAAGATCAAAACGCAGTGGTATATCGGATCAAAGCTGGGTACTGAAGTTAAAGTAAATGTATTGACAGCAAGTGCTATTCGATATCATCCAGTGCTTCAACCTGGTCAAGTGCTCCCGCTTCCTGGTCGTGGTCAGGATTCATTTGCTTGAGTACATGGATAATCGGCCGTCCCTTGACGGCTTCTATGCGCTTTAACCAGTCGGCCCAATCTTCCTGGTTTCGAATGAGGAAGCCTATAAGCATGCTCGGATCCATGTCCCGCACGTGAATCCTCCTCAAGCGCCGTGTATGATAAGTATCAACCTCCTCCTTTGAGTATAGTTCGCCTTCTTGACGATCTGGAAGCGCAGGGCGGGTATAATGTGGATCTAGATAGAATAGATGCGACCCCTGGGCTCCGACAAAGTAGTGTGACGCCGACGGGCGTCCCCTAGTGATGACGTCAGCTTTAATGGTGAGGAATGGCTCATGGGTGGGCAATATACCCTGCAATTCCGACTGATTGAGGGAACTGCAACGCTGCTTTTAGACCATCCCAATAGACTGGGGTGATGTTGTCAATGCCGAGCCTTGTCCCTAGAAGTATCAGGGTAGGCTGAAAAGCACCGGATGTGTTTCGGGCGATATCCATGAATTTGTCCTGGTAAACTTCCGATGTATCATTCGAGACATATACTTTCAGTGTGGGATTTCCACACTGGGACGAAAGTGCTCTGTTTTATTGTTCAGTTCACCTTTTTATAATAGTTGCTAGGTGTAATGTGGAGCTTACTCTATGCACTTGGCGGTTGCGGAGGGCCCAAACCATTCCCCAGGGTACTTCCCGCACGATTCGGCACCATGTTTTACGAACCGATGTACAGAGAAGGGGGCAGTTGGCGTGTCGGCAAAAAGAGACAGTAGCTGTGATTCTTCCTCAAACCTTGCTCCACGGCGCCAGTCTGGTCAAATGTTAGCAGTGCATTCAGGCCACGCGCGTGAATGATAGTACCACGTCCTAGGACCAACATAGATAGTGCATTTGCCAGCAGGCTCTGACCGGATCGTATCATACAGCCCCAGCCAGTATCGGATGTGAATCCTTGCGTATCTACTAATTGGCTTCTTAGGCGTACCCCCAGTGTCATTGATGCACTTTTGTCGTCTCCCTCGACTCTAGGTATAGGGGGGAAATTGGACCGATAGGTCATCCAGATTCTTGATTCGAAATCCAACAGGAACGACTCAGGCCACGCATGTTCTGATGGTTTCCGATAGTTGGTCGTTCCCATCACGTTCTCTCGGGTGTTGTTCTTGTCGGCTGGCACCGGTATCAGTGACATTTGGAACAAATGTGTCTTTTAAAAAGGCATGGGTTGGTTATAATTTTGCTTGGGCTTACGTGTCTCTCTTGTGTTGGCATCCTTGTCGGGATGATACTCTATCCCTAGGCACCATATTGAAGAATTAGGATCTTCATCATTCCTGGGTTCTGGATCCCAGAGATACTGTACGATGCGTTTGCTGCATCGTCCTATGTCAACTGTGTTCATGTCTGCTATCGTTGCGATACTCTAAGTTGCACTTCCCTGGTCGCACGGATGAAGATGGTAGGGTGTGGTGTTGTAGTACGTCACTCGATAAGATTGCACTATATATTATCCTCGGCCCGTTGGAGACGGGCAACCTAGATGGCGGGACTTTGAGGGAGAGACATCAAAAGTGCAACGCACTTTCCAAGAATGAGATAATGACAGTTATCAGCGCGACAGATCATAGGGTTGGTAGTGACCAAACCACAGAGGGAAGCTTGGATGTGACCAGGAGGGGTCATATAGTATCTATGCATTAGTTGTAGTCACGGGGCCAGCTAGGGCGGAAGTTGCTGCTACAACTTGGAAAGCTTAGAGAAGGTTATCATAGGCCCCTACTTGAGGTACACAGGAGAATCAACAGAAAACGACGATTGAATATAAAAAGATGTATAGTAGCTCTGGCCAGTATTGACACGCCGTGTGGGAAAAATAGACCTTACTGTCTCTGAGTGAATCAAGGCCGCCCAGACCCTTCTTGATAAAGCCCGCCTGTGTACCCCGCCGGGCACCTTCGCCGGCTTACCATCATTACATAAGTGAGGATATGAACCGCAGATAACATTGCCAAGAGCGAACGGCTAGATTAAGCTTGGAAGTAGCAAAGGTACCATCTCAAGTCGCTTATCCTCATCAGATCGAACAACACCCTTCTGTCTTCCAACTGACACAAGGACTATCAATATAATTCAAGAACAAGGCCGAAACCCAGCAAGCCAAGCGAAGAAAAAGAAAGAAAAGGGGGAAATAAAAGGCCTGGAAAATGACACGATCCAAGGCAAAAGTCCGGAACAAAAAGCAGAAAACTGTGGCGGATGATCTCTTAGGTACTCTATCGTATCTTGTCACCACTTCAGATTAAAGTCACGTAACTGACTTTTCGAAGATC